CATGAGGGGAGGGCTGCCTGGACCTTGGTTCCTGACCTCCTGGCCCCGAAGGCTTGCACTGTTCTAGAAAAGCCCCAGTGATGCTGAATCTCTTGACATGACATGATTTGGTTAGCACTTGGGATGGAACAAGCACTGAAGACTAATGTCTTCTTTCTTAGTGGTTTTTTTGTGCTGCTGCTGCCACATGTCCCTGTCACATGGGGCCTTGACATGGCTTCTATCCATTTGTATGACAGTTCTCACACACACACACACACACACACACACACACACACACACATCTATGCCTAGGAAAGGGCATGATGGGAAGGACCTTTCACCGGCAGCCCAGACCACACTCAAGACCTTCTTACGTGCTTGGTCCTTGGACCACCCATGGGCTGAGTTATTAGATTGTTGTTCCTGTCATCATTACCACTAATTACTCTTAATTTAACAACACCATGAGGTAGTTCCAGCAGTAGAGTACCGTCTGGTTATTAGCTATGGTACTAGTGAGCCAGTGAGTGTGGTACAAGCACCCTGCATCAGACTTGTGGGATGCTATCCAGATCCCATCACTTCTAATGGTGTGGCCATGAACCTGGTGTGGATCAAGTGGTAGAGTGCCATGAGTTAAAAAGCCAAGTGAGAATATGAAGCCCCAAGTTCAAGCCCCAGTACCAACACACACATACTACAAAGTTCCAAGAATTGGCCATTTTCCCAAGGTCATATTGTCAGTACAGTCTGGGGTGAAAACTCAAGTTCAGTTGTCATGACTCCAAGAGACACGGACTTTCTCTTTTTGCTTTTTATTCTCTTCTTACATAGTAACATAAAAATACATTATTAGCTGGGTGCCGATGGTTCACACCTGTAATACTAGCTGCTCAAGAGGTTGAGATCTGAGGATCATGGTTCAAAGCCAGCCCGGGCAGAGGTTCTTTTCTCCAATAAATTACTCAAAAAGCCGAAAGTGGCACTGTGGCTCAAGTGGTAGAGCGCTTGCCTTGAGCTGAAGAGCTGAGGGACAATGCCCAAGCCCAGAGTTCAAGCCCATGACCGACAAAAACAACAACAACAATAAAACAAAAACAAAAACAAAAATGTTCTTGATGTGAAACAGTGATACAAAGAGAGGTGTCTTTGTAGCTCCAATCTCTCTACAGAAGTATAGTGTATAGAGCTCCAGTGGCGCAATTGGTTAGCGCGCGGTACTTATAAGAAGTATAGTGTATGTTCTTCCTATCTTCTCCATGAAGGGCACAGGTATAAGGTCAATATATACATATAACACATATACATGATATAATAATAATGGGAGTGTCAGCCTAGAGGATGAGCAAAAGTGTTAAAACACTTAACATGGTACCAGGCTATGCACAAGTTTCATCAGTCTTCTCCTCCAGTAAGTGAAATTATTCACCCATTTCATAGATGTGGAAGCTGCAGGTCATGAATTTGTCACCACACAGACCCAAAGAATGCTGGGTTTGAATCTAGTCAGATTTGCCCCGTGCCTCCACACTTGGGCCAGAATTTTATGTGACTAACAGGCATTATTTTTCTGCTGGATTTTTTTTTTTTCTATTGTACTGTTTGAATAGTTTTGAATTCTTTTCATCTGAGTATGTAAAGTTTAATTCATTCTTTTATTAGCTACATATTTTCAATGTCTTATTTAACTTCTTCCTGATTTGAATTGCTGTTTCTTTGTTCTTTGCTGTGATAAGTAAGACAGTAGTAAATACCTGTAGTGAATTCACTCTTGTGCATGTACGTAAGAAACACCATAAATAGCTTCCTAGAATTAGAATTGTGGGTCAGAGTGTATGTGCATACTAAATTTTAACAGACCTTGTCAGTTTCCCTTTCAGAAAGGAATCTGGTCACCAACAGTGTGTGAGAAACCCTTCTTGCTCACAATAATCATGTTTTTATTTTTGCCAGTTTAATGAACAAAAAAAAACCTTTTTTTTTTCTAAACTGTATTTTCCTGAGTCCGAGAAGGGGATGAATAAATTGTTCGGATCATAAATGTTTTTCATTATACATATTCTGAACATGTCACTGAATAACCCTTTGCCTGAAATATGTGGGAAAAACCTATTATTCCTCATTTTGTGTCTGGAGATTTTTCATGTTTGTACACAGATTTGTCTTTGTTGTTTCTAGGTTGTACCTTGCTTCATATATTCCACCTCTTCCACATTATTTTAATCTTCTATATTAGTTTTCTAATAGTTCTGTAATTTGATAGCTTATTTATAAAATTACAGAAAATTTAATTTCTTTCTTTCTTTATTTTTTTTTATTGTGAAAATACTGTACAGAGGGGTTACAATTACATGGGCAATATAATGAGTACATTTCTTATCAAGCATTGTAGCCTCCTCCTTTGTTTCCCCTTCCCATCCCTTCCCATCCTCCCCCCCCCCCACCCAATCCTCCCCGTCCCCCGCCAATGTTGTAAAGTTCGTTTTCGATGTAACGACTTGTACTTCTCATTGTTGCAATGGGTCCACCTGTATCCCTATTTAAACGATTTATTTTGGCTTTGTAAATTCTCTGAAATTTATTTTTGTATAGGCTGAGTTAGGGACCTACATTTACCTTTTTCTAAATGAAGAACTGATTGTCAAATCATCTGTCATTTCATTTGAAATATTACCCTTAGGGTCAACTAAATTCTGCATATTTGCCTGTACATCTGATTCCTCTCTTCTCCATTGATTTATTATTTTTTATTCCTATAGTAGTGTTGGTGTACTTTAATTATTTTGGTCCTAGAATAAATTTTTATATTAGAAGAGGAAAGTTCCCTCCCATTACTGCTCTCTTTGTGAAAAAATACCTTTGCATTTTGATGCTTTTGTTTTCTTCTTTGTGAACTTACAAAAGTTACAGTCTTCAAGGTCTATACAAGGAGATGATTGGAGATGTATTGCATTAATAGATTTTAGATAAGTTAATCTTTCTTTACAATATTTAATTTCTCCATCCAGAAATACTGCCTATTGCTACTTAAGTCTTTAATATCCATCAGCTGAGTTCTATAATTTTCTTTATATAGTTCTGGCACTGGGAAGGAAGTTTACTAGTTATTATTATCATTTGCACCCTATTGTCTCATTACCCTTATTTAATTTTTCATTACTAAAGAATGATAAACCGTGGGGGTTTTAGGTCAATGTCTTATGTAACCACTTGACTTGAACCCTTTTATTGGTGATCTTTGTAATTGTTTTTCTTGACTTACCACATTGGCTGTCACCCAGACACCTCTAATGTTTCAAACTAAATACAGTGAGTATACTTTAGCAGCAGCTTGAAGAAATTTCTTTCCATTTCTAGTTCACTGAGGGTGTGCTTCCCCTCCCCCTAAGCCACACCAGATTCCTTTCATTTATATTAACCTTCAGAAACCAGAGACTGTCTACCTGGGAAGGCAGCAGTGACATCCTAGTGAAGCCAGCCTGCTTGAGAATTAGTAAAATTGTCTTCTGTCTTTAAAACCCACATTTAGGCCTAGATGTTTGTGGGCAGAAGCTACTGATATATTTCTACACTTCTCTTACCATTCAAACTCTTACACCAACATCACAAAGAAAAAATAACTTTAGGAGATAAGTAAAAAAGTAGCAGATAAGTACAAGACCATAATGAATCAAAATTTCTGGCAGATCCCCTTGAAAAGATATTGTTTCATTTAAGTAACTAGGCTGAGCACCATGTAATGCTCTGGTGGTTAAGGGGCTTTTGTAGTTTCTACAGAGAGTGTGAGAAAGGAATCATGACCAGACCTGACTTCCTGTTGTGGTTTCACAGGGGTACAGGAGCAGGAAGCAGCTGCTTTGAACTTTTTCTCAGCACTACCCTTGCCTGCCATTAGTGCAAAAGAAATATTGTCACACTAGACTGGCAAAGCTGATTTCATTGCAGAGTACATTTGATTATTTTTAGTTGGTGATGATTTTATTTTTTAGTAAGTTCTGAAGGAAAAGCTTTTGCTTTTGTTAAGCTTGCGTTGACTAATGTGATATGGCACTTGTCTAGAAAATTATCCCTGTGTCCAGTGACACTTTGCTTTGGGGAAGTCAACACCTGCTGTGATGGCATCTGTCATATTTAGGAATGTGAGATGCCAGAGAATAATGTAACACCACCTCAATAAAATGCCTCCTTAAGAAAACTTAATAAAAGACATTGGTTAAAAAAATGCTGTAAGTAGTATAGGAGAGATTTTTGAGCTGGTAGCATGGCTCAAAGTAGAGCATCTGCCTAGCTAATTTAAACCCCAGTACTGCCAGAGAGTGAGAAAGAAAAAGGGAGGGGAGGATGTGAATTTCTTCTGATATAAAAGCTGTAATGAACTGGGTGCCAGTGGCTCATACCTATAACCCTAGCTACCCAGGAGGTGGTGATCTGAAGGCCTTCATTTGAACCCAGCCTAAGAAAACAAATCTAGGAAATGAGCAAAAAAGCCAAATTAGAGAGTGAGGCCCTGTATTCAATTCAAACTCTATAGTACTAGGTATCTTTACTACGGGGTTTTCTTGCCTGAATATAGGTTGGTTAGATTTTATTTTCTGATTGTTTAACCAAGAAATCAAGACAATAAATGCAGGGATCATTCATCTTTATTGGTTTAGTGTAGACTGCAACATAAATCCAGATGCTACTATCTTAAGGTAGATTCTTGGGGACAGACTCATCTCAGGCTTGCAAAGTATAGCAGGCAGCCATCCAGGAAAGCCCAGGTGAACAGAGTAGTGGAAGTCAAAACTGCCGAGACACCCAGCAGCCTCATCACGTTGGGTGTGAACAGCAGGTCTTTGTGCCCCTCCCATTCCAGAGAGGTTGACTTTGACTTGGATTGTTTGTATGGGAAGTTTGGTCCACCTCATGATTATTTTTCTTTCTTGGTATCATCTTTTCAGAATCCCCTAGTCCAGAAAAAAAAAATCTGGGAGGCACGACAAGGACTAGACTAAATGTCCCCTTTTCTTTCACAGGCAGGTGACAAGCATTATCACCCTAGCTGTGCACGATGCAGCAGATGCAACCAGATGTTCACAGAAGGAGAGGAAATGTATCTTCAAGGTAAGACTCTCAAGTGTGCAGTGATGTTTTCACCAGTTGGGGAAAAAGAAAAACGTTGCAATGTTTGTCAGATTGTTTTGAGAGGAGGTGGTGGGTGTTTTATTAGCTGCAAGGCTACCCAAATCCAACATGAAAGTGGCCAAAAATTATCTCACATCCACATTCATCAGCCAAGCAATTGACACACTGGCGTGGAGCCCCTGAGCTGTTAATGAAAGACTGAATTGTGTTGCTTGCTTGGAAAGGATGGATAACATGTGAAGTTGGATGCTGGGCTTGAGGGTGCAGGGCAGGGAGGAGGGGTTGGGAATGAAGCCCAGCAATGCCTCCTCTCCAACTCTCCCCAGAAACGTGTTTGGGAAATCAAAGATCAAAAGAAAGAAAACATTTCTAAAAGCCTTGCTGATTTGATGGCTACTTTAGATTGTCCCCCCTCCCTCCCCTTTACAAGCCTGTGAGCAGTATTATCTACAAGTCTGTAAGCTTGCCCTTCTCTGGGGTTGCAAAAAAGATAAGGTCTTATGTATGAGGAGTTGCATCACACACTAAGATTTCATCCCACTAAGATGACATACTTTCTACTGAGACAGAGACTGAGAGGGAACACACCCAAATCTCTAAAACACAAATGAAGAAGTTTCTGGTGACAGTGAAGTCCGTTCCAGGGAGACATTTGATTTTTCCTTATTGAAAATAATTTTGAGGAATGTTCCTCACATAAAACCATACTGAGCTTTTATCTTCTCTAAAATTCCAGAACTTCCTCAGGAAGCTTTAGATAGCGGATCCTCTTTTAGGCTAAATGGCACCATCTGTGCAAGCGTTTTGACTATTTTTAGTTGGGGAAAAGAGTCACTAATTAGATGAAGGTTTATCGTAGAGCCATCAAGGACTGTGAGAACGGTTGATCGGTTGATCGTTGGGTTCTGGTAATTAATTACTGGGTCTCATTCCTTTGCATGTCATTTCTCTTTCCACAACACACTGTGTAATTTTAATGAAGGGTTTGCTTTGATGTCAATTTGTGTGTGTGTGTGTGTGTGTGTGTGTGTGTGTGTGTGTGTGTGTGTGCAACTAAGAAAAGTCTATAGAAGCAGCCTTGGCTGCTCACTTCTTTGAAAATGTGGGTGATTTAGATGGCAGCCCAGGTCCTTTTAGCTTTAGCTTAATCACTATAAGACTGTGAGGAGACTCATCACTAAACATTGAAGAGCCCCAGAAAGACAAATGGCTTGTCTTGGTGGTCTCATGAGGACTTCGGAGGATACATTTTTCCCTCGGACAGGCTATCCCTTGGCAGTGGCAAAAGGTATCACTTAGAATTTTTCTACCCAAAGCAGATTTTTTAAAGATATATTTTTAATATATCTTTAAATAGCTGTACAAAGGAATTTCAGTTCAACCTATCAATTTTGAGTACAACGCATCTTGATCAGTGACACTCCAGATTGATTATTCCTGTGGCCTCCAGAGCTGCTTGTAGATTTTCATGTCTGCTACAGCACTCACAAAGCAGGCATCCGAGTGAACATCGCCTTGTATCAAGCAGGAGCGGAGATTTTCGGTATTCACATTGGTTCTGGAAGCTGTTAATCTGTATGATTGCAGGGAGAGCTAGTTGGTGAGTACTGTGTTCATATATGGGTTTGTACAGATGTGGGGAGAGGCAGAGAACCCAAAGGAATGAACACTTAGAGACTCAGAGGGGTTTCGAGCCATGCACACAGTACTTCATAAGATGGGCTTTGTTCAGGGGCATGGGATGGTTCTGCATCTCTTTCAGAACTGGACACCTCCGTCTTCTAGTGCCTTCACTTGCTTGGAGGGTCTGAGCTTCTGATGACAAGGTTGACTGTGCACAAACCCCATGCTCTGGCCAGTGCCTCCTGTTCCGTAGACCTTCCAGCAAATGCTTGTGGCCTGGACCTGACCCCTTCCCTATCTACATTAAGAGATTTCCTGTGCTTTGTAGTCAGCCTTTGAGTTAGGGCTGAAGGGGCCTGTAGGTATGTCTGGTTTTGATTTGCTTTTTTTTGAACCTGTGTGAAACAAGATAAAAATGATGGAATATATATATATATATATATTCCTTGTCGTAAATTTGATAGTATTTTAGTTTTTTAGTATAAACAGTTAATGTGGTAATTTTTCCACTACACACAGGTTTCTGCTTAAAGAGATAAGGACTAAATCCTGACATATTGAAAGCCTAATGCTTCTGCTTCTGCTTCTGCTTCTGCTGTATTTAGACCAGTAGTAACTCATGCTAGCTGAGTCTCTAAGTGTTCATTCCTTTGGGTTCTCTGCCTCTCCCCACATCTATACAAACCTGTATGTGAACACAATACTTACCAACTAATTCTCCCTGCAGCCATACAGATAACATATATTACACATGTGGTCTTTCAAAATCATTAGGAAGGCATTGGATTCTTAAGAGCTTTCTATTGAGGTTGTTTTCCTTAATTCTGTGATGCTGGTACCAAAGTACATCAAAATGTCTTATAGTCCAAGAGAGAGTAACTGTTGACCCAGGAACAGGAACTCACAGAAATTCTTACTTTTTCTAGTTTAAAAGCCAAGATTTCTTTTAGTTAATTAAAAGGTTTATAATGAGGCTTTAATCTTTCTACCAGTTATTTTGAGTTCCCATTTGTGAGCTGCTAGAGAACTGGGTCACTGAGAAATTGAGTTTGGGTTCTAGATTTATGACAACTAAATTGCTTGGTTGTTTTGACGTTATAGAAAGTTGACTTTCATCCCTAACATTAACGTAGATTGTAATAAGCACTTAGACATGATTTTTAAAGGATAATAATATGGCTTTAAAAAGAAGGGAAAAAAGACTCAGTCTGGGCCTAACTATCTCTTCCATTAAAATACTTTTGTTTTAGTTAGTTAGTGATCTCTGCGATGCAGAATTTTTCTCTTCAAAGAACAAGCTCAGGCTGGACAATGAAAACTCACCTGGAGTGGGAAGGTATTTGATTTCAGTGTCATGATGCTCGGACTCTTTCCCACCATGGAGAGAGAGGAATGTGAGCCACTCTGGGAAATCTGTTGAATAGGACTATGGCTTCTTTTCGCTTGCTCTGCTCTTGAACAGTGAATTTGTCTTTCTAGGTTCCACTGTTTGGCATCCCGACTGTAAACAGTCTACCAAGACAGAGGAAAAACTGCGGGTAAGAAAACCATCAGAACCATGATGCCAATGGCATTTGAGCCCATAAACTTAATAGTCACTAATTATCAGAACTAGGCTTTGGGTGAAATTACCTTCTACTGCCTTTCTTTTCTCTCCTGATACCAAACCAAGTACAAAGATCATTTGGCCAGCAAAGAGATTTTTTTTTCCCTACCTTGAATTGGTCATTGTGGGGTTTGTTCCAAATAGTTGTGTTAGACAAAGTAAGCCTTGCCTTACTGGTCAGCTTCTTAGGAAAGCAAAAATGGGAAAAGTCTAGATAGATGGGGGAACAAATGATCATCAAGCAACATCTGGAGACATCCGTGCTAGAGGTTTCTGGATTTTGTCCATGATGCACCAACTCCAACCCCAACTCTGCATTCAGCACTCAGTTCTTGGGATATTGGATTGGCCTCTCAAATCCAATTCACCAGAGTGGCCTCTAGTTCCAAAAAAATAGTTGTTAGTCAGATACAACCTTAGGGGAAAACAATGATTCATCTTATATGTCCCTTGGTCAATGTTCAAAAATGTCTCCAAGGGGCAACCACAGTATTTTACCTGGGCTAGGGACTTTTTTCCCAGAGTGATAATCAGACTTAATTCCAGTCCCTCTGCGTAGCTAATTTAGTGGTACCCAAGGAAAACCTGGAGTTCAACTTCATTCCACTAGCGGTCTCCATGAGAAAGAGTCTGGCAGCACCATAGCATGTCACTGACATGCAGTTTCATGGAGGGATGGCCTGCCTTCAGAGAAAGGATGATCAGATGTTCAGGTGCCTTTACCAGCCACCTCACGAAACACAGCTGTTATTTCCAAGCGTCTTTTCCTTATTTTCTTCATTGAAATGCATGCATGCAAGGGAGCTGCCCACCCCCTTCCACTATATCCATGATTTAGATGTGGAGAGGTAGACACCTTACCATTTGGATATTTTAGAAACTTGTTCCTTGCCTGCGACCTGCACAAAAGAAGTTCTCTTAGAATTCTCTTAGTTTTTATGAGCAGGATTTCAGGAGAAGAAAGAAATTCTTTAGCCCAGAATTATCAAACAAAGATGGGAAATGACAAAGGAGCAATTTGTCCACCTATCTTGGGATGCTTTTGATCTCTGTCTGACATATACTTGAGGGTATACACGAATGCCCTCCAAGTCCAGCCACCAGACGGGCTAGAGACTCTGGGAATTTTGCCAAATCATGGATACTTGAGCAGTTGATTATCTTTATAAAATATGGGGACATTGAAGAAACTACTTCTTGTCACTTTTGTACTAAAAATTGTAAAGCCTACCTCATAGCTTGTGGCCACTGCTGAGAAGCCACCCAGATAGAAAATTTTTGAATAATCAAAAATAAGTTCAAATAAAAAATAATTCAAAAATAAATTTTTTAATAATCACTTTTTTACTTCATCCTCCAGTGAAACTTTTTGGGGGGAGGACAAAGAAAGGATGCTAATGAGGCCAGAATGAAAGGGAGGTGCATCTTTTCTCTACCCAGCTAGCTGTGACGGTTTGTGGATTATGTTTCTTGAGTGATTTTCAAAAAAGAGAAAAGAAGAATTAACACTCTCAATCGCGTCTTAATGGAACTCTCTGGAGAAGCTTATGAAAACAACTAGGGAAATATTTCACTTATTCTGGTGAAGAGGAGTTCTTGTTATGTTCCTTTTGTAAGCCTTCCAAATAATTCCAGAGCTCTTCTCCGGCTGGCTGTATACGACTAGGGGAGAAAGCTGAGTCCTGGGCTCTCTGTCTTCCAGAAGCCCTGTAGCAAAGAATAGGCTGAACCTCAGAGCGAAGAGGTTGATGCCAGCATGCTCTGCTGGGACACAGTGCTACTGGTAGGGTTTACAGGGGCATAAGCTTTGAGTGGAAGAAGAAATCCCACATTCTCTTCAGGGCGTGTCTGCATGTCGCACATCTTTTGCCAAGACTTTTAGGCCTTTCGCTGCTTGTCACATGACAGCAGTTTCCATAGCAAAATGAAAATGTTTTAAGAATCTCTCAGCGACCCCACTGAGTAATCCACATTCTTGATACTTAAGAACTCAAGGGGCGTTTCTCACAACAAATCCATAAGCACGCCTCTCACTTGGCTCCACTGGTTTCTTATTCCGTATACAAGAAACATGTTGAGTCAAAAGAAAAGGTTGTCATGGGACTTGGGGCATCGTTAAATATACTATAATCTGAAGACTTTTAACATGGTCCCCACACTGACATTCCAAAATGGCACATGGATGTCAGCTAAAGGAATATCACTTACTTGTTTGCTCTCAAATTCATTTTCCCCTCAAATGTCCTATTTGTTAGAGTATTTCATTTCTGAATAAGGATTTTTTTTTTAGTTGTTGTTGTTTATTCTTTGCTTCTCTCATGTTTCATGACAGCCACCAAACATTCATCGCTCCTCATCCGATTTCTTTTATCCCAAAAGTCTGATTCGCCGCACAGGACGGTCCCCGTGTCTGCAGGTTGGCGCTGTGTCCCGGCCGAGGCTCAGAGCCCCTGTCCTGGGCGCAAGCTTCCGTGGCTTCATCCCTCCCCCACACCCCCACCCCGCCCCTGGCTGCTTTTCTCGTGTAACTTCTCCAGCTCCCACAGACACTTTCCTCACCCCACCAGCACCCCTCACCCTCTGACTCGAGCTGCTTTTTTTCCTCTGATTGGTGTTTTCCTTCAGAGCAATGGCTAAACGCATTGACTTGATTAAAGCCAGCATGTGGGAAGCTGCCATTTGGTCCTGTGTTCCCACATCACATCGGTTCCTTAACAGATGTTGTTTGCCGCACTCCCAGGGGTGATGCTGGACTGGGCACACTTGTAGAGGGAGAAAGGACAGATAAAGAATGATACAATGTCACAGGAGTATATGACAGGTCATATAGATTGTGTCCTTTGGAATGTGTGGGGAGAGAAAGGAAGGTCTCAGGATCACTTCTTGCAAGAAAAGCAGCGTTAGGGTTGAGTTTGGAAGAGTGGTTGGGATTTGAACATGTGTAGAGGAGGAGAAGGGGTGGGTGGGAAAGAGTGGTTTGGCTGGAGAGAGGACTAGAGAAGGAGAGCAGGTACCACCCGGGGAGGCCAGGATTTCCCTGTGTTCTGCTAGCAATTCCTGTGAGGTAGTTCATCTTCCTCCCATCTTCCTGAAGGGGAGACGGAAGCTATGGCCACCACAGCTAGGAAACCTCCCCAGAGCCACCCACCAGTAGGCAGAAGAGCTCAGATTGGAAGCCACAAGTCATCTTCTTTTCCACTCTGCCACCAGAGGGGCAGTGAACCGAAAAACCTACATCACCAGAAAGAGCCTTAACTGTTGCTGAGGCCCTTGTCAGGGGCCACTGATGAAGTAAGAGGAGGAGAACAGACTGACTTCCCAGGGTGCCTTCCAAGAGCAGGACAGGGACTCAGTGACACCCCAAGAACAGGCAAGCAGCACTCCCCAAACTGTCCAGTGATGGCCCAGACAAAGCCCATGCTATCTGTTCTCTGCCCACCTTCTTTCTGAGCCTGCCAGGACCATGCTAGGGTTGAGACCGGTTCAGGTTTCTGTCTATTTCTACGTCTACGTCTTTCTTTAAGTGATCTGAACATAGAAGTACAAGGGCTGAGGGTGGAACTCAGTGGTAGAGCATTTGCCTAACATATGCAAGGTCCTGGGTTCAATCCCCAGAACTAGAAAAAAAAAGAAGTACGGAATTTTAGAGAGGAAAGAACCCTTATACAGGTTAGCCCTGGAGTTAATTCATCTGTAGAATAAAACCACAAAATGGGAGTAACATGACCAGGACAGCATAAGCCACAAGAGGGCTACCTCAGGGGGCTCTAAGTCCAGGTCTCTCTGGAGGGCACTGCACAGGTGCTGTGTTGCACTCCAGCTTGGATGGTATAGGGTCTTCATTCTGTTTTAAAGCTCAACCCTAGCAGCAAAACCCGCATACCTCACATAGACAAAATGGAAGTCTCATAGACACAAGGAGCAGCTAACGTGGTTCCTCTTTCTAAGGATGCTGCTTCTACTTGGCTTGCACGATCTACTTGGCTTTTTCAATAGTCTTACTTTCCAGTGGTACATTCTGAACCCCATTAGTGTCATATGTCACTCCCCAGGCTCTAGCCAAATAATATGTTGTTATGACTTAGAGAAAAGAACCATCATCAAGTGTGATTTTGTTTTGGTTGTTGTTTACTTCAGACCCTCAAATTTAGTAAACTTGGAGGAAGGAGGGAGGGGAGGGAGACTCTGTTTTTAATAACTTCTCTCTTCCTCGCCTGTTCAAAAAGGACATCTGATTCCCATTATCCAGCCATAATTATCAATGAAGTCAACTTTAGCCCCTCACAGAGAGCTGTAAACAGCTTGGGTCCTGGCGGAGGAATTGTGCTGTGTGTCAAGGTCGCCCTTCCCCAGGGGAGATGAGGGAGGGGGATGCCTCACCCCCTCTCTGAAGGGACATGCAGACTCCAAACCCATGGAGTTCTAGAGTCACAGGTGTTTTCATCTGTCAAGTGCTCTGACCATTCGCGTCCTGTAGAGTTTGTCTGGGCACCTTCGGGGACTAGGTGAACTCATGCCTCTCCTGGCAGGCACGGTCATTCTCTGTGCTCCGGAAATAAGTCCTTATAAGTGTTGTGGAGGGGAAAAAAAAACATTAAATTATGTGTACTAGAAGTCATTTGATTATGTATTCAGAAATTGGCTTCAGTAGCTTCCATCTGTAATCCCAGCTACTCCAGAGGATAGGAGGGAGGATCGTGTCTCAAGGGCAACTAAGGCAAAAATAAAAGTTAGTGAGACCCTCTTCTCAACAACAACAACAAAAAGTGTGGTGAGTAATGTGTAATTTGATCTGTGCAGGAGCCTGGGCAAGTGCAAGAAACATCTGAAGAACTAAAGCAAAAAAGGCTAGAGTTGTGGCTCAAGTGGTAGAGCACTTGCCTAGTAAGCAAGAGACCTTGAGTTCAAACCCTAGTACTACAAAAAAAAAAGAATAAAGTCATTCCCTTCTTTCCCCTGAACTACAGGTCAAAGAAGAAGATAAAAATAGAGTTACATAAGCAAAACATACTCTGGTTTCACTCCTGGAAGAGGTTTATGTGAATAGCAAAGATTTTTTGTCTAATAGGTGAAACTCAGTATTGAGCACAACTCATTCATTGTAGACCCAAGCACATGGAATTCCCAGGACCAAGTTTGTTATACTCTGGAGTGGGCCACTTGCTTCCATTCTAAAAAAAGAGGTTTTTTTTTTTTTGTTTTTTTTGTTTTTTTTTCCTGTTAAACTTTGAGGCTAAGGCATGAATTGGCTGACTTACAAAATGAGCATGAGTGTTTTCTCTTTTGGAACTAACATTCATTCACCAGTGATAATATATGCTCCTCCAAGTCCATCACATAGCAAACAAATACCATTAGGTTTGGAACTGTGGTATACACTGCCTTCTTTCTGGAGATGGTCACCTTAAGTTCAGGAGGCCGTCAAATGTAGAAAGGGCTAGATTTATACCAGGAAGACTGAGACTTTTTAACCAGAGCCAGGGCCGGAACTATTTGTGTAACTACCTGCAGACAAAGGATGTGTCACCAGAGGCCTCTCCTGTTCTTCATTCCAAGCACAGATTCTTTTTAAAAATTTTTTACAAAGGAGTGGTAATGTCACTTCGTACTTACCTTGAATGTGTGCAGACTTTAAAAGTTATTCCTTCTTCTGCAGCTGTTACCACCACCTTGTCTGGTAAACTCCAGAAAAAACCCAAGGCAGGTACTGTCAGCATCCACAGCGCTTAGTAGCAGGTGTCACCCACCTTGTGCCTGTCCTTTTCCTTCAGCTGTTCCTAAGATCAATCTGATCTGGTTGTCTGTTGCCTATAGTTTTCCCTCACCTGTGTCGAGCATGGCTTTGGATGAATGGAAGTAGAGTAGTTGTTGTATCCTTGCTCCTACCGAGTGGGGGAGGGGCAGAGGAGGGAGCCCGGGGCAGCAGAGTCCTCCAGCTCTCTCCCAAGGGCCCCATGTGCGGTGCTCCATACCTGAATGTACTTGGAGCTGTTTCTCCACTTAATGAACAGCCAAAGGTCTGGTAAGTTCTTTGAAGAGTCTATATTTAAAGACGGATGTGAGCTGGGGGTGCACACATCAGAAGATCTTTCCAATTAATCTTGCTTCTGTGACTAGAATAGTAGAGCAGGTAGACAAACCCAAAGGTTAGGAGCACAAATGAACTGAAAGAGAGTTAGAGGGCTTTTAAAAGAGTGATTGAAAACCAATAGATGTGTTTTTCCAAGCATCTAGTGACAAACATCATGAAATGTCATTTTTCTGTCTCGCTCTCCCTCTCTCTCTCACACACACTCTCTCTCTCATTGAAGTGAACTGCTAGTATTCCATGGAGGGCTATCTTTTTTTATTTTGTTTTTGATGGAAAAAAATATCATACTGACATCAAAAGTGGCTGTGGGAAGGTATGCTGGGGAAATACAGGGAGCCAAGGGCTCCTTCCTCAGGAGAGGCTGCAGACAGCTCCAAGTGGCTTTCTTCTTCCTGTTAGCAGAAGAAGGATTAGCTATTTGCCTAACTTATTGGCACAATTCTTGGTGAGGTCTCAGCATATGTAAGCCTCTCTTCATCTGCCTCAATCTCTCCATCCTACCACATGGCACCTTGTCTGGCAATGTTGTTGCCACAGCTAGCATCCAAAGAAGTAGCTAAAGTATTCCCGTTGTACTTTTTCAGTTGGGTGTTTTTGCTTTTGTTTGTGTTTGCCTATAATAAAAGGTCCTTAAAAGGAAGTGAAGTGAATCACATTTACTTTTGGTAGTTTTTAGACTTCGCTGTTTCCATTTCTCTGGAGCACAAAAGGGAGCATGTCAGCAGGATGTTGAAATCATCTGTACCCATTTTCCATAATATAGACAAGAGGGTAATTTTGCTCAGCATATCCTTGTAAAGAACTCCCCAAACAAAGGCTGATGACCTGTTGTGTTCATGACCTCAATCCGTATTGATGACGTCACTGTGACTACCTTGGCTGTCTCAATGGGTTGAAAGGGTTACTTAGGTTTAATAATTGCATGTAAAAATCACGGATGGAAATGGGACTCTTCTGCAACATTTTCTTGCAGCCTGAGGAAGGGATACTAGAGTTACAGTAAAGATAAAGAAGAAACTATCAATGGGACAAGACAGACAGGAGCCCAAGCTGGGGGGTTAAGATGAGTTTCACTGGGCAGGTTTGTGCTGTATGTTGGAGGATAACTCTGTGCCTCCAAAAGATGCCTCAGTCAGAACAGGAAGTCATCTATTCTTGTGGGCAGAAAAATTAAAGGAGTTACTTTTACAAGAAATACGTTTGTTTTTTTTTAATCCAACCTGTTTAGGATTTTAGACAGTTCACATTAAATGTAAAATTCCAATCACTTAGGATTAAAACTCCAAGATTAACCATTCCAGTTTTGAAATTTAAATATCTTCATAAAGGAGAGAATTAGCTGAGTGCTACTGGTATCTCTTGCCCATAATCCTAGCTACTCAGGATCTTAGCTACTAAAGATGGCAGTTTGAGCTGGATGCCGGTGACTCATGCCTGTCATTCTAGCTACTCAGGAGGCTGAGATCTGAGGACCGTGGTTCAAAGCCAGCCTGGGCAGGAAAGTCCGTGAGATTCTTATCTCCAATAAACCACTAGAAAACCGGAAGTGGCGCTGTGGCTCAAGCGGTAAAGCGCTCGCCTTCAGCTGAAGAGCTGAGGGACAGCGCCCAGGCCCAGAGTTCAAGACCCACGACCAACAACAAAAAAAAAAAAGATGGCAGTTCGAAGCAAGCCTGGGCAAGAAAGTCCATGAGCCTCTTATCTCAAATGAACCACTAAAAAGCCAGGTGAGCTGTGGCTCAAGTGGTAGAGTACTAGACTTGAGCACAAAAGTGCAGGGGCATCACCCAGGCCCACAGTTCAAGCCCTAGGACTAGCACAAGAAAAAGAGAAAGGGGGGGGAGGGAGGAAAAGGGAGAGGGAGAAAAGGATAAGGGAGGGGGGGCGGAGAGAGAGAGTCTCGCTCAACACTGATTGAGCAAATGCACTCCAAGAGCCGTTAGGGACAGGAGCAAAAAGCAATGATCCTTGTGGATTCTTTAAGCCTTGAGCAAGAAGCGTCTGACCCAGAACTGTCTTGGCAGATAAGACAGATCTATGCAAGGTCATTGCCATCCACCAGGGAAGGGACATTAATGATTGAAGCTGGCAGATCACAGGAAGTCTCTGTGTGTGAGAGGATTCAGACTCCCTTCGAAGAGTCCTCCATCTCCATAGGGATGCTATCCATGGGCTGTGATAAATGCCCAGACACACCTGAGTTCCAAGGCGAAGGAGCTGTGTGAAGCATAGAAAGACTCTGGTAGCTCACATTGGAAAAGAATATTGTGTCTCGGGGACTAAAACATGGGCAGTACAGCCCTGGGTTATTGGAGGCTAACGGACGGGAAATCTAGTCTAATGGCAAATGTCCAGGGAATATTGACTACTTAACCTATGCCTGACAAAGTGCTTGGCATTTTGTATATATTATCTCATTTAACCCTGAGCAGCAGCTGTTGCTAATACTGTCTTCCCATTTTATCAGTGGAGAAATTGAAACTCAAGAAAAAGGAAAAAAAAAAGAATATCACAGACATAGTTGAGCCTAGATTTGAACCAAGCTATTTGACTCCCAAACCAGCTCCGATAGAATGTATTATACCATATGTTGTGTTATACCTAGTTACCCCAATATAGACAGAGAACAAAGGACAACACTGTAAAGAAATAGGCAAACAAGAACATAACAGGCCTATAAAATAAAACTTTATAGCAAGACTAGATGGTTGGAATGAAGAAAAGGTAACCAATGGGAAATGATCGATGCAATAAAAGAAAGACTCGTTCCTGGATCTAACATCTGGAACCTTTTCCAAATGACACAAGACAATCTGAAGACACAGGTGGCAGAGCAGTCAGTGTAGATCCTCAACAGATTTGGCAACCAGTGGGTTTGACTCTGAAACCTGGCTGTAGCCACATGCCAGGTCTTCAGCCTATAATCCTAGCTACAGGAGGCTGATATCTGAAGATTGTGGTTTGAAGCCAGCTGAGGCTGGAAAGTCCATGAGACTTTTTATCTCCAATTAATCAACCAACAGAAAACCAGAAGTAGTGCTGTGGCTCAGTGTGGTAGAGCACTAACCTTGAGCAAAATGCTCATGGACAGCACCCAGGCCTTGAGTTCAAGACCCATGACCACCCCTGCACCCCCCCTCCTCTCCCCCCTCCCTCCCCCCCGGAAACTTACAGGAAGCGGTAGTCCAGAGGAGACAGAGGAGAGACATTGAGATGAGAGAAATGTCTCTCTATTGAGATGTGCTCAGTGTGGAGCCAGAAGTCCAATAGGGACAAGGGAAAGGAGGTGACCAGAAAAGCCCCCAAATGTACCCTCCGAGGCGGATCTCACTGGCTTTCATGTAACTCTCTTCCTGATTGATTGTCTCTTACTCACAAAGGTTACAGAGCTCTCCCTTTTGAAAGTAGCTTAGTTTTTGTTTTGTTTTGTTCTTTTTTTTTTTAATTAAAGCTTACGTAGTCAGATTAGTCTAGAATCTGAAGCCATGGTCTGATAGCTGATGGGTCTCTGTTTATTTCACAGCCGACCAGGACCTCCTCTGAGAGTATTTATTCTAGACCAGGTTCCAGCGTTCCCGGCTCACCAGCGCACACCATCTATGTGAGTATCTACTCCTGCAGGCATCCTGTGCAGGCCAGGAAAGTGGAGGGACGGGACTAGCCAGCCTGATAAATAATTCAAATCAGACGCTGATTAAAATGGTTTCTATTTCTGTTCCAAGATCCAGTTTCACTTTCATCTATCAGTCTTCTTGATCATGTTTTTTCCAGTTAATTCAATTCATACCTGTTCATTAGATCAAATGATGGATGACTGGAAGGAAGAATCTAGTAATAAGATGCAGGATTTTAAAAATGGTTGCCACATGCCATGTATCAAAAATTCATTAGATATTTTATGATGTTGCAGTTGGATATTCTTTTTTTTTTTTTTTTTTGTCATTCATGGGGCTTGAACTCTGGGCCTGAGCACTGTTCCCCAGCTCTTGAGCTCAAGGTTAGCGCTCTACCACTTGAGCCACAGCACCACTTCTGGTTTTCTGATGGTTTATTGGGGATAAAAGTCTCACAGACTTTCCTGCCTAGGCTGGTTTTGAACACTGATCCTCAGATCTCCGTCTCCTGAGTAGCTTAGGATTACAGGCATGAGCCACGGGTACCTGGCACAGTTGGGTATTCTCCAAATCATACAAAAGATACCTAAATAGTTCGTTGAATAAGCTGTTCTTGCTTTTCGTCATCTGGAAGGAAATTTTTACAACTTGTTTGAGATGTTTTTCTTCTCTGTAATATATGTAGGGAAATATCCTTACAGTTTACTCATTTCTCTTTTTTATGAATCCTAGAGATGTTTTCCTAAGTGTTTGATTTTAAAAAAATACATGTAGTTAATAGAAGGTATAGAAGAGTTGTCTAAAGAGCAGCGTATGTTTGGCAAGGTCATTTGATTTCATTTTCAAGATATTCACATGGTAAAGACAGTAGTTTGTTGGAGCTTCAAGACTGCAGAGTAATTTTTCTCTCTGTTTTAACTTTGCCAGGCAAAAGTAGACAATGAAATCCTGGATTACAAGGATTTAGCAGCCATTCCCAAGGTCAAGGCGATTTACGATATTGAACGTCCAGATCTTATTACCTATGAGCCTTTCTACACTACGGGATATGATGACAAGCAGGAGAGACAGAGCCTTGGAGAGGTAATAAATTCAGCCAGCAGTGGTGGTGAGACATTGCTCAACAATTCACTTTCTTTTCAGTCCTGTGTATAAGAACTGTTTAGGGCTAAAAATAAGTCAATTGCCTGCTCTGTAGAAGCTTCAGGATTATGACACACAAGAGAAGAAAATGTAGAGAGAAGAGGGTGACAGGATAGCCCAGTGGTGTGAGCTGAGGTACAGGAATGAGCCAATAGTTCAGGCATCCAAACCTGAGTTCAACCAGGTTGTCTTCTTGTTTGACTTTGCCAAGGGACAACAACCATCCAGATCCTTATTTCCTCATCTAGAAAATAGGCAAGATAATGACAGACTCTGCCTTGCAGGACTTTAGTCAGAATTAAAGAAACTAATTTGTGCAAAGCATATTTGCAGAGGGTCAGAATCGTAGATGTTCAGCCAGGCATCTGCTGCTGTTGTTACCAGTCCGTGTTTGGTTGAATAGCGCTCAGTTGGGAGACATCCCTGGTAGAACAGAGCCCCGCTACCCTTGTGCTCCTCCACCCATTCTCCTGCCCCATCTCAGGTAGTGGGTTCACTGTTGTCACCTCCTACTCCAGTCTCAGGGGATCAGGTCTGTTTCCCCTGGCTTCTTCAACTCAGTTTTTTTTCTTTTTATTTCATTCATTCATTCACATTGTACCTCCAGTCCTTCCTCTTTTTTATATAGACTGATTTCAGTCAATACAGTACTGGATTCTAATCTATCTTTCAGCCAAGGTTAAGCCAAGATATCAAGCACCTGTAACCTCATGTGATGCACTTGAAGCATGAAAACAGCATGCTTTTCTCGGCATACATATAATACTTACTTTTTTAAATGCATAGGATGCTTATATAATAGTTCTTTCATTTGTTTTCTAATCTGAGTGTTGTTCAAGAGGATAGCTCTGTATTGAAATGGTCCATAAGGCAGAATAGTGATATTCATTTTCATGTAGTGCTCCCTAGTGGTTGGATTGTTGTACTGCATCTGCAACGTTAGGCAATGATTTTGTCTTTGGGCTGTTCTGTCATTAGCTAACAGTTTCATAGAGGATCAAGGGCAAGGGGACGTTCTGGATCAAAGTGCATAAGGATGGTCGTAGAGCAAGTAGGTGAGAAGTCACTCATGTTCACATCATAAAACCAGCAGGAAGCTCGAGTTTCTTTATGGGGTTATAGGTTTGTATGTGTGTATACTATATACACACGTGTATATATATGTATATGTGTGTATGTATATATGCACATGTATATATTTATGCACACTTGCTTCCAAGTGATTCCATTTGAGGCAGTAAAACATTGAACACTCAAAAGTTTAGGCTTTGAAGTGAAATTGTTAGCATTTAGGACCGTATTCAATTGTATGTAGTGCTCTTGCTTATAATCCCAGCACTCCAGAAGTTAAAGCAGAAGGATCCCCAGGTTCAAGGCCAGTCTGGGCTATACGGTGAGACTCTGTCTCTAAGTAAGTAAATAAAACCAGATTCCAATATTTACTATCCAAATGACTTTGGGAGAATTATACATTTACATATCTGTAAATTCAAGATTTACCTCTAAAGGTTTTATATAAAGGTTAAGGGAGGTCTTTAGATTACAGCAGTATTTGACACATCATAAATGCTCAGCAGAATATTGGCTGCTTTCAAAATGAGCACCATTGCTGTTCTGACCTGGAACAAAATGGCCTGCCCCTCAGCACAGAAATCAGAGGCCTCACGAAAATCTTGACGGCCTTGAGAAAGCCTGTATTTCGGAAAGGATGGAAGCCAGGGGTCTATAGGGTCAGAATGAGCGGCAGGATAGAAGAGCCTGTGTCCGATTATCACAGTCCTTCCAAACTCTTTTTAAAAAGTATCCTTAAGGACTTGTACAAAGGAGTTTCAATTCAGCGTGTCCGTCTATGAGCACAGCGCACTTCCGTCAGTGACAGCCTTCCCGTCCTTCTCATCCTCACTAAGCTTTTCCAGTGATTGCTCTGGTTATAATTCAGCTTACAACCATGTTCGCAAAACCCTATGTTTCAGCCAAAGCTGTAACTTGTAGTAGCAAGTGAGCGTAGCCGGAAAATACTGATAAAAAAACTAATTTCAGTTTGTCTAACTTGATCATCTAGGACATCATATGCTCATTAAATTAACAATATATTTATGAGAACCATGTTGCTTAGTCAAGAATATATACCTGTACCTCCCAGGAACTTTCTGGTTTACCACAGGCCCCAATGCACGTGAAATAAATCCAGCAACACATGCTGGCTTTGGGATAACATTTCTGGCTCATTGTGAGGAGCAACTCTAATTAAAACTGTCAAGAGTTAATAATGCCCTGACCTGAAATTTCTCTCTTCTCTCCTAGTCTCCAAGGACTTTGTCTCCTACTCCATCAGCTGAGGTAAGAACCATGTCGACCATTTAAATGGGTGGAATTGGGGAATGACCTGGCCAAGCCTGGAATATGTGAAAATGGATGTAACACGCAAAGGAACAAAGAAGATGGAGACTGTGACAGATATAAAGATTGCTTTCCCATAAGATAGGACCCCAAGACAGCAGGAAACTTCTTTAAAAGGGGTGACTAGGAGTAAAGGCGGCCTCAGGCAGATCTGAGCCTGCACCTCTGAGTGGCAGGAACATGTCCGCAGGCCCAGGCTCTCCTCCTTTGCCTACACATAATCACTCGGAACCATATTCATATATTGGTATATATACTGTATTAGTTATAATGGAGTATCAGAAGTGACTGCTAGCGTTCAGTTAATACAGAAACAGGACCAGCTTTAGAGGAGGCTTTTCTGTAATCAGTGGGCTCACCTTAAAGCCATGCACCTTTCTTAATACTTTTTTGTTGTTGTTGTTATAAACCTGGGAACCAGTCATTGGAGATGTGAGAAGTTTGAGTGTTTTATATCATCAATCTCTTACAGCATGCTGCAGTTATCAAGAATTAGCTTCTGTTATTGATAGGAGTGGGGGAGGGGACAAGGTCAAAACACATCCTCTGGGGATTTTTTGTTTTCTTGCTTTTGTTATTCAGTATGTTGTTTTAGTCAACCAGGATCCAGACACACATCCTCCCTTGCTGTTTTCTGTAAAACTTCACCAAGCTGTGCTGACTGAACTTTCAGTTTTCTAGTCACTAGTCATTCGTTCTTGCACACACTTTTTTTGTGTTGTTCCAGTAGCAACTTTATAAGGCAACAAATTCCTAAAACATAAAGCGCTGTTTACACTCTTCACACTTTTTTGACAAATTTATATCATCTTTAGGTACTAATGGCTTCTTCTGTACTTACTACCTGATGTATTCTTTTCTAGGTTTGGACATACATATTAGAGGTGTCATTATATTTCATTGAAGTGATATGTCATCATTTCTGAATTATTCTCCAATTGATGGAGCATGTGACTCAATTTTTTTTTGCCTTTAGGGATGGTAGTGTTATAAAAATCTTTGAAAGAATTCTTTCTCTTAAAGATTATTTTCTTGGATACCCAAGATGAGTAATAGTTACTGATCTTAAAGCAGCTACCGGCTTGTCCAGGGACATCAACTTAGGGTGTCACCAATTCAGTACAGACAATGTGGGTTGGTGTCAAATAAGACACAAATCAGGACACTAATTTTGAAGTGAGACCTCCCTCATCCAGTTGGCTTGCTTTGACCTTGTTCTTAATTGCTGGTACAGGAAGGCAATGTGGAGAAACTCCGCATTACTATTATGCAGATACAGAACAGGTGGACCCACTTTTGTAAGCCTGAAAAGCACTGAGCACAACATAAATGTCATCAGCATTATTCTTTCCCCAGAGCTCTATCACTATGGGGAGGTTATAGTTTTATAGTTTAAGCTTTAAAACAATGACTTTGGGGTATAGACTAAACACATGAGGCATGTCTATGCATAGTTATGGAACATGGCCCTAACAAAAATAAGCAGGTAGACATGACAATTCAGAGCTCACCCAGAAATGCTAACAGTCTTGATACATTTTATCCTCACCTCTTGCCAACTTGGTTCCAGGGCTACCAGGACATACGGGATCGGGTGATGCACCGGTCCACCAGCCAAGGCTCCATCAACTCCCCTGTGTACAGCCGCCACAGCTACACCCCCACCACGTCACGCTCTCCCCAGCATTTCCACAGACCTGGTAAGGACCACTCTTCCTCGATCCTCTCTATAGTACGAGCTATATCTCTGTGGGATTTTTTTTCTCCCCTCACATATTAAAAGCATACTGAAAAGTCAGACTGATTATTTGGGCCCATTTTCCAGAACAGAATGAGAACTGGAATACAGCCCTACTTGGTATTATATCCTTTCTTGAACTATCAGTCGTTTGATGGCGATGGTGAAAATCTCATCCCTTTGAGACTTTAAAGGAAGATCTCTAATAGAGAACATTTGGCACCCTAACATAGTGTAAAATCTATTAGTAATGATTTCTTATCCAGGCATACGGAGTTACTAAACATGCTCGGTTAAATACTTTCTAGAATCAGACTAGCGAACTCTTTAATATCCTTTCTAACCCTAAGATTTTGAGTAAGACTCAGAACAAAACCCTCAGGGATATACTATGATAGAGAATGTCACAGTAGAAGAAGGTCAGTTGACCTTGTCCTGCAGGTTGACCTTGACCTGCAGAGAACTTGGTCCCTGTGGCTCTTGGTGGAGGTTTTGTGTGTGGAGCAGGAGAGAAATCTCAGCCCAGCTCTAGGGTGTTTTGAGCAATAGCCACAGGGAAGGGAAGATTCTGGCATCTACATGAACTTGATAGCAATGTCCATCTGTGAAGACTTCCTTTTAAGCTTCTTCTGGCCAACCTGAGGAGAAGAAAATCTTTCAAGGACTAACTTTGTACAATATGTAGGAACTAAAACCAAAGGAAGTGAGTAGAAAGTGATAACACTGCGATCTTTTCTTTGAAGCCATAGATTTAGCAGATGTTGAAGATGGAAACAATTAGATCCTTCCATAATGGATTCATTTGTCTAGGCTTATATATACTTAGTGTTTATTAAATTATGTTAAATGAAAGCTTTTTCCTAAAAGAAATTTCAAAAATTTCTTTTTTCCAAAAGAAATTTCATTTCTTTTGCTAGTCCTGGGTCTTGAACTCAGGACCTAGGCTCTGTCCATAAGTTTTTGTGCTCAGGCCTAGTGCCTCTACCATATTGAGCCACAGTTCCATTTTCAGCTTTTTGATAGTTAACTGGAAATAAGAGTCTCATGGACTTTCCTGCTTGGGCTGGCTTTGAACTATGGTCCTCAGATCCTCAGATCTCAGCCTTCTGAGTAGCAAGAATTATAGATGAGAGCCACTAGCACCCAGTGAGCTTTTTTAAATGTACAAGTGTGTTCATTTTATTTGTGCCCTGACAAGGACCTCTTCTCTGGGCGATAAGAAATGGTTTATGCCACCACCTCTCATGTTGAGACCACAGAGATTCAGCCTTGCCACTCTCAGCCATTCTGGCCCCAGGGAAAAGGTCCATCCAGAACCTTCTGAATAGCAAAGGAGCAATCAGTCCATCACAGTTGATCCTGGAAAAGCTCCCGTCCTTATTGAACACCCGGCAGCCCTCAGTCTCGCTCAGCTGCCAACAGCTGTCAGAACCTTCTCCTCTCACGACATCGTACATACCTGTGTGATGCTTTGTCATTTTTCTTGAGGCCTACCCTATCCTTCTAAAGAGAAATTTCTAGCATATGTGCAATTTAGGTGGACCACTTGGAAGGATTCACCCATAAGTTCTGGGTACAGAAGAGGCTTTAAATCTCCTAGTTCTGGGTTCAGTTTTTGTTTTTTTATGCCAATACTGGGGCTTGGGCTTCCTCTTCCACTTGAGCTGCAGCTCCACTTTCAGGCATTTTGCTGGTTAATTGGAGATAAGAATCTCATAGACATTTCTTCCCTGGGCTGGCTTTGAACCCTGATCCTCATATCTCAGCCTCCTGAGTAGCTAGGATTACAGGTCTGAGCCACAGTGCCCGGCTGGGTTCAGTTTTGATCCTTTCTCCCTCAGACCTGAGTGTCCTATCTCCAGCATTTACTTCTACCGTCCAGTTGTAACTCTGCCCCTGAGGGAATACAGATAGGTTTTTCCTTGCAGGTAGAAACATCCTATAGGGACAAGTTTGCAGCTTAAAAATACTGAATGTGACCTTAACATATAAGTATTTCTTTTCAAGTTTCTTGAAGTTGTCACTTTTTTGGGGGGCGGGGGGGGCCTGGAGGCCTGAACTCTGGGCCTGGGCACTGTCCCTTAGCTCTTCACCTCAAGGCTAGTGCTCTACCACTTGAGCCACAGCGCCACTTCCGGCTTTTTTTTCTTCTGCTTATGTGGTGCTGAGGAATCGAACCCAGGGCCTCATGCATGCAAGGCAAGCGCTCTACCACTGAGCCATCTTCCCAGCCCGAAGTTGTCACTTTTTATATGCATTTTAGAGAGTTCTGTTTTGCCAAGCACTTCCCATAAAAACAGCTATTGTTGAGTCCGCATGAAGTGCCATGCCCAGGCGCAATAGTCTTCACCAGAGTGTCCTGGGGAAAACCAATCCTTCTCTCCCAAGCCATTTATTCCTAGGCAGTGACTCTGCCCCACTGAGCCCACTTGACCAGCTCTTTGCAAGTGCATCTGTAACCCTTTTTTCCTTCCTCCTTTTTTCAGATTCCTGATTAACACTCTCTCTTTCCTGACTTTTGGAACATTACAGCTTCCCCTGCTCCTGTGTTAATTTCTTTCTTCTTTTCTGTTTCCCTCCCCCGCTCCCTCCATCCTGCCCTCACCGATTCCTTGCTGCCCAGAGCTTTTGTCTCCTGGTGTGCACAGGTGGTCGCACCTGCGCACCAGCAGCTTCAGCTCCACCCACAACGACTCCCGCCCCAACCCCCCTTTCCGACACCACTTCCTCCCCCATGTGAAAGGTAAGGAGGCAGGCCTTGGCAGGCAGTGCCTGCGTAGTGGAGATTTATTAGCTCCCTGGCAAGGCTAATAAGGTGTATCTCCAAGAGTTTGAGCCACCGAGCTTCCGGCCCATCCGCATGCCTGCGTGTGTCTTGACTCTCCAACCGTGGCCTTAGAACTGGCCTAGCATCTCACAGTCTGAGAGATGCGTCATTTCTAAGGGCTCTAGGTGAAGAAACAGGAAGTGTATTTAAGCCTGTAAAAATACATGATCACCACTTGGAAAATATATATTTATATATTATTCTTTTGTTTTTGTCTACATCAAAAACAAAATGTAATATATACTTGGGGGAATTTTCCTGAGTTTTTAACATGCGATATGTCACACAGCAAAACACACCAGGATTTAGTAACAAATATCCAAAAGTTGTCCTCATGGTAATAGGCCATTTAACTCTACGAACCATAGGGGTACCATAAAATGATGGGGGACAATGTATTTGTTGCCTATGTCTCTCTCTGAGCTGACTCTCAGAAGAGTTTGCTTTTGATTCTGCCTAAATCCCTCCCCATAGACAAGAACGCTTTGCCTTCTGTTTTTTTCTTCCCACCTTGCATTTTTGCTCCCTTTATGGTCCCTCATCATTTTCTTCATTGTTGCTTATGCTTCTGTAGCAGTCCTCATTGCGGAGAGGGAGGGGGTTCTCCATGTGGTAAGGGAGCCAAGAGCCTTGGAGAGGCTGGGGGCGGGGCACATTAACTTAAATTAAATTAAGTTCCCTGAGTGATCCTGACTTAATCCACAGGCTTGATGTGAACCAGATTAATCCACTAACACAGCAGCAGAAGGGAGGAGGAGGAGGAGGCAGGCTCAGAGCCGTTACTGTACGCTGTAAACCTAACCATGGTTCCAAGGGCTCCTATCACTAATGCATCTGTTCATTAGCCAAAATGTGGTTCTACTTTCCTGAGCACTTATGATCAGTCTGTGCAAGCTTTTTTCCTTGTAACTCATTTGATTCCTGAACAACCGACTCCTAAACTGTCCACCCACTGTGTTCTAGCAGTGTGTGGCTGCCTCATACAGGTGTACTGTCAGCACTTTCAGCTTTGAAAATATTACTGCTCTCTTGCTCATTGAAGATAGGCACCATTTGCTATTAATCCAGGTTTTGGTAGGGCATGTTCTGAAATTCTTGATGGATTATTTAAACTATTACTAGGAATTGGTATTTGGAGGATTTGATATTAAAAATTAAAATGTCAAGAGAGTACTTTTGAGAATTTTTAAAACCATAAAGAACATTGATCAAGATGCATTGTACTCATAATCTGACTTGTTGACTTGAAACTCCTTTGTACCACTACTTAAAAGTTGAAAAAAAATTGTAAAAAATAAAACCATAAAGAAATCTTTGAAAAACAAACTTCAGTTGTATATTTTGAAGAGAGTTTAATGTAATAGTTCTAGACCAAATTAAGATCCTAGTTAAACCAGATGCTAGTGGCTCATGTCTGTAATCTGAGCTACCCAGGAGGCTGAGATCTGAGGATCAAGGTTTGATGCTAGCCCAGGCAAGAAAGTCCATAAGACTCTTATCTCCAATGAGCCACCAGAAAACGAGAAGTGGAGCTGTGGCTCAAAGTGTTAGAATTCTAGTCTTGAGCAGAAAAGCTTAAGAACAGTGCCCAGGCCCTGAGTTCAAGACCCATAACTGACGGGGGGAAAAAAGATTATAGTTACTTCTAATATTCAAGAGAAAAATGCATTTTATTCATTATAATGTAAATTAGATAAAAATATCATATATAAAACAAAATACAGAAGTAATATATTACATAAATTATGTTACATTTCTCAGAGAGATTTTTTTTTGTAGAAAGAAAAATGTCATGGGCTGTGTTAAGTTCTACAAAGGTTGTCCAAAAAACAGAATTGCAAAGTCATGATATCAACACATATCACATCTGAACTTGAAATTTTTGGTATATATTTTATAACATTTGACATTATATAATTATATTACAACATATATATATTATATATAAATGCCAGTGGACTGGGTTTATCAGCATATTTTTATCTTGTATATGTACTATGTGCTGCTTCAAGTGATATATAACATACTACATCTCTACAAGACTGTGAGTATATAAGGACCCAGAAAGCATGGACTTTGGTGTCTTGGCTTTAAATATTGACTCTGTCATTCACTGGCTGAGTGACCTTGAGTTTTTTACTTGCCTTTATGAGTGTGGCCTCATCTATAAATCAGAAAGGATGAGACCCCTCCTCGGTCATTAAGGGTGAATAAGGTGCCCTGTGTGTTCCATGGTCAGCATGATGCTCTTACAGCACTGGATTACCTCATCCCACAGGCTCTTCACAGCCTCCTTGGGGTGCAGGCCTGAGGGGGACACCTGGGAGGGAGCAAGAAGCAGAAATCCCAGCTAAGGAGCTTGCCAAGGCCTCCCACCTTGAGGAGTAGCACCTGGACCAGACCTAAGGCCTTGTCCTTCATAGAAGTGCTTGTTCAGGCGAAGTGCATGGGTTTCAATATAAATATATTTTAAAAGCATTTTAAAAAATGTTTTCTCCCTTTTTAACTAGAAAATTCCTTCTTCTTCTTCTTCTTCTTCTTCTTCTTCTTCTTCTTCTTCTTCTTCTTCTTCTTCTTCTTCTTCTTCTTCTTCTTCTTCTTCTTCTTCTTCTTCTTCTTCTTCTTCTTCTTCTTCTTCTTCTTCTTCTTCTTCTTCTTCTTCTTCTTCTTCTTCTTCTTCTTCTTCTTCTTTTTTTCTTCTTCTCCTTCTCCTCCTCCTCCTCCTCCTCCTCCTCCTCCTCCTCCTCCTCCTCCTCCTCCTCCTTCTTCTTCTTCTTCTTCTTCTTCTTCTTCTTCTTCTTCTTCTTCTTCTTCTTCTTCTTCTTCTTCTTCTTCTTCTTCTTCTTCTTCTTCTTCTTCCTCTTCTTCTTCCTCTTCTTCTTCCTCCTCCTCTTCCTCCTCCTCCTCCTCCTCCTCCTCCTCCTCCTCCTTCTTCTTCTTCCTTGAACTCAGGGCCTGTGCACTGTCCCTGAGCTCTTTTACTCAAGGCTAGTACTCTACCAATTTGTGTCCCAGCTCCACTTCCAGTTTTTGAGTGGTTAATTGGAGATAAGATTCTCATGCAATTTTTCTGTCTGGGCTGACTTTGAACTGTGATCTTCAGATCTCAGCCTCCTGACAAGCTAGGATTACAGGCTTGAGCCACCAGTGCCCAGGGAGTACATTATTTTCAAATAATACCTGATCCCAGGCTGGCAGATAATGATGGCAGTGATGATAATAATACATTCCAAATGTGATATTTCATCTGACTGCTCATGCATTACTTTGCGGAAATAATGTGCTAAACTCAAACCTCTTGGAGCCTTAACTGGTTTATTTCTGACAAGGACAGAAATAAAAGTCACATAATGTAAAGATGAAGTGTTTAGATTAGAAGAGCAAAAGAAGCTTCATACAAAGAATTCTATTTTGTCTTTTTAAAAATGCCCCCAAATTTTCATGTCTTTGGTGTTTCAGGACTAAGGATTTGGTAAGTTAGCAATGCAATCTGACGGTCTTCTTGCTCAATAACTCTGTGCTACATGAAACTCAGATCACATGAACTTGCTGAGTGTGTGGCCCCATCCTTCTTCACCTCGTGTCTCTAGAAGTTTTGTAGGAAGTTTTAAATGAGTGTAGTTAAATCTTCTTCAAAACTGTGAACATCCTAGTGTCTTTTTCAAGAAAATTAACTAATCAGGTCCATTGACCTCTTCTTACTGAGGGTGCACAATGATATCAAAGCATGTGTTGGTAGCTTGCGCCTAGAATCTTAGGAACTCAGGAGGCTGAGATCTGAGGATCATGGTTCAAAGCCAACCCTAGGCAGGAGAGTCTGTAAGACTCTTATCTCCAATTAACCACCAAAAAAGCCAGAAGTGGAGCTGTGACCCAAGAGCTCTAGTCTTGAGCAGAATAGCTCAGGCATAGCATTCAGACCTGAGTTCAAGCCCCAGGACCAGCATTAAAAAAAAAAAAGAAAAGAAAAGAAAAAAGATAAAAGAATAATATCCAACTGATGGCAGCATTAAGCAAGAATTTACCCTCTTAGAATTCAGGTGGCTTCTCCAAGAGCCTTCTAGATTCTTCACCTTTATCCAAGAAAGCACAAGCTGCTATGGCAGAAGATCTTATTGTAAGAAAGATGAATATGCCAGTATTGTTGCATGTGTTCCTAACACTGGCTCACAGGTGTAATAGATTTTTGTGTAATTGGCAATTATAACCCAAACCTGTGAGCATACTACCCTGAAGTACTTGGTGCTCTATGTGGATGCTAGTGTCAGAGGAAGTGATAAAAGGCAGAGAGCATCGGGGTTCAGAAGTGACGGTGGCCAGTGCCCAAAGATATGCAGAAAGTCTTCAAAAGACAAGTAACAACTAAACTAAGAGAGTTGAGACCTTTACCTACTCTTGAGAAACCCCTGAGAACTCGTCTCCTTAACTGTGGGTTACTCATTTTAATAATTTTCCTAATTGTTTAAGGGTTGTAGACTTTTTTCTGAAGTGAAATTTGAATTGGATATTTGGAGATCCAGTAGAATGGGGAGGCGGTGAGGTGGGTGCTATAATAATTCCATTGTGTGCCAGCTTCAGGTTTTCTTGAATGAAGACAGGGTATGGAATAATCCTGCAGCGGCGTTAGCTGCAGCCATTAGCAGCTGTGGAACTGAATTGTTGGCTTGTTTCAGTCACTCATTCACAGACACAAGCACTTACTCTTGCCAGGTAGTGGGCCTGAGTCCTGATGATGGACGGAGGAGCTCCATCTTGGATCCAGCCATGGAGTCAACACAGTCTTACTTCTAAATGCAAACCATACTCATCCTTTTGCTTACTTCTATCTGTTTTCATGCACATTGTTTTCAATTATTGCCCTTTAGGAGACTGAGATTAAATGACAAGTGATTTTTTTTTACAAGTTGACTTTTTAATAGAGTAGTTTAGGGTGATATTTCACACACACACACACACACACACACACACACACACACACACACACACTCTCTGCTGGGATAGCTGGACTCTGAGACTCAGAAGGGCAGAGACTCTATTTCATGTCCCTGTTTGTCATTCACAGTAGCCTAGTACCTAACCAGTCTGGGTGTTGAGTACATGTATTAGTGATAAATCATTGGCTCAGGTGGGGTGTCATGTTGGAAGCGGAGGTAGACAGAAGTCCCTAAATACCTGGCCAGAAGAGGGCCTGATTCCATTTGTGTATTTCCGAGAGACGAAAACAGAAACATATGCTGCAATGAAGGCACTTTGTACTGCTGAGGGGGAGGCCTGGGGCACTGCTCGGGCTCTCGGACTTAGCCCTCACTTTCCAGAAATACATTCTGATGACCAGCCTGTGCCATTCTGCTTGGAAACAGTCATACCCGGGGTGGGGCTTGCATACCCATCCTCTGTACATGCTTGAGATTTAACCATCTGATGAGTGGTCTTCAGCCAGTAGCCTGTGATGTTCCATTCCTCCCAACATTCTTGCCATCTAACAGTGTGCTCGCTCGCCCAGCTCACTGCCTCCCACCGCATGCTATCGGAATGACAGACGGAAATGCTAACTGCTTTGACCCTGGGCCCACGTGGACTCAAATGTCTCCTTTGGAAAACTCAATCTGAAACCACCATTGCAAGGCAACTTGACCAATTGAGTTTGTTTCCTTCGCTTCTCCTTTCTGATGTACTGCCTCCTTCTAGTTTGTTGGGTTGAATTTTGATGACACTTTGCTTGGTTTTCTTTATTGTTCTCCCCTCATTTTTGTTTTCTCCATTCTTCTCATTGGAGGCAATGAGCCGTCCAGCGGCCGGAACTCCCCTCTCCCTTACCGGCCCGACAGCCGCCCTCTAACTCCAACTTACGCTCAGGCCCCTAAACATTTCCATGTTCCAGGTAGGAGCTGACATGTCTGTCTTGATGTCCTGTCACAGTGTAGAATGTAGCTGTATCCTTGTCTCGTCTCCCATTTCTCATGCTTGTTAACTGGGATGCACAAAGAGGACAAACCCTAAATTGCAGGATCTACCCATAGGGCCTTGCAAAGCGTCTTTATGGAGTGCCACAATTGCATGGAAGGTTAAGTTTTCTCCCAAAAGTTCCTACTACTACTACTACTACTACTTTGCATTACTGGGGAACAAATCTAGCACAGAGCCATATCCTCAGTATCCTCAGCTCTCAATATTTTCAAATATTTATTTATTTACTTATTTTTGCTGGTACTGGGGCTTGAACTCAGGGCCAAGGGCATACTATGTTAGCTTTTCTCTAAAGGCTGCTGCTCTTCCACCTGAGCCACACCTCCCACTTTTGGCTTTTTGCTGAATAATTGGAAGTAAGAGTCTCACAGAGTCTTTTGCCTGGGCTGACTTTGAACCTCAGTCCTCAGATTCAGCCTAGTAACTAGCTAGGATTGCAGACATGAGCCACCAGCATCAGGCCTCAACTTGTTTTTGAAGAGGGTGGGAGTAGAAGAGAGACTGGGTTGTTTGAACTGGGATTTGTTGTTATTTACGTTCACACCTTCTAAGATACCACTCTGCTTGAGTGTCGGTTCATTATCACAGTGGCAGTCTAGTTATTTTCTCATCCTAAAGCTTCCCAAAGATTGAACCACAGTGCCACCTGCATATAAACAGATAGATAGCAGACTGATTGATATCCTGTTTGCCTCCAATGTGGAAAGTTTTCTATAGACTTTCAGAGAGCTGGACATTACGTTGGTTGATGAGTCTGTCTGCAGTGCATAACTGACAAGTCTCCCCCTCAGCCCACAAAGATATCTTGCAATTTAGACTTGATGCTGCAAGCTTTGCTCTACCAGCCACACGCTTTGCTGTCACAGCATAAATAATAATAATTTACCTTCAGAAACTAGAAGAAAACAGGGCCTATCGGTAGCTTCACCCTTTGGGTGGGTTCAGTGAAGGGAAATTGATGGGCCATAATTGCTCACCATGTATATCATTGCAATCAGCTTGATAAATCACCCAATAGGTTAATGGAAGACCATGTAGTTAGAATCTGTATTCATCCTTTTTTCTTTTGCATTTTCAAACTTACCAGGAAAACAGGGGAAAAAAGGAGTCAGGAACTTTGGTATTTCTGAGCTAGTGCTACTATTTTAAGAAGTTCTACTGAATCTTCAAAGTCCTTGTATATTTGAGGGTTTTTTTTTTTCACATAAAGAATGTCCTACAGATACAGCATTTGAGATTCTGGGGATACCTTCCTAAGTATTTGCAGTTAAAATAAATGGTAGCAAAATGAGCTGGGTCCCTGTATAAATTTATGACTAGTGTCTCTTTTTCTTCCTTTTCTTTTTTACTTTTTCACTTTAGCTTCCACACATTAGGACTTTGATGGACATCCCATTAGCATACCAGGCTAGCCCTGCGCATACAAGTGTCTCTGTGTCGCCGTGCATACTGTTCCATTCATTCATCCACCCAGTAAATTGAGCCACTGGAATCTCTGGGGAGCTCAATTTCTAGACACTTACAATTTGGGGATTATTTTCCCCAAACTGATGATGTCTTCTTACCATTAGAGTGCCTCCAGACCTCGCATTTCTTCCTGTTTTCATCCTACTTTCAGGGAAGTACGAAATAAATGGCTCATGAATAAGTGACGTCTCTCTCTATGTTAAGATGTATTACAAAAGTTTCCATACCACTTGTCTGTAGTAATTCATACATTTCTGTGATCTTTTCTTTCCATATACTCAATCTTTGTAATACAGAAGTTAGCCTTCTGGGGTATTTTTGTTCAAGAGTCTTCCGTGTGATTGGCCCTTTGGTTTGTTCTGTTTTCCCATTGCTGAACTGGTTCCTATAATCAGACACCTTTGCCTTTTCCTTTCCACAGATCAAGGGATCAACATCTACCGAAAACCACCCATCTACAAACAGCATGGTAAAACTCGCTTTCCTCCTTGTAAGCTTTTAAATAGCAGAGTTAGCCGGACTCCTTCCTCTTTGCGACTTCTGTCTCCAACTTCTATCTCAGTTTGAGAATCAAACTCGGGGAAGGGGATCACATAGTATATGTCTGTAGGGTCCAATAAGACACAAATATGGTAAAATTGACTTTCCTGGATAGAGAATACTTCGCTCAACTAGAAACCTTCTAGCCTATTTCTGCATCCATCAAACTACCATGTACCATTCCATTTGTAAAAGAATGCAAAGGATCAGTCACACAACACCCCTCAGACATCCTAACAACTTCTATTTATTTATTGCCATCGAATAAACTCACCAGTCTTTACAGTACTTTGATTAGCCTTTGATTGGTTTGACCACATAAAACTAGTGAAAACAAGTTACCTAGAAAAATGATTATGAGACATACACATGTCTACACAGTGCAGTAGCCAGGACACAGGTAAGGCAGGTAAGGCGGCCTAGTGCCACCTTTGAACTTCAGTTTTCTCATTGTAAGGACTGGTGAGTTAGATCAGCTGTTTTCTGAAATTACTGCAACCTAATCACTATAGTGGATTTGTGTTTTCCTTTTCTGGGAATACAGATTTTCTTTCTTTTCTCTTTTGAGCTAACAGCTTGAACTAAGGACCTAGGCACTGTCCCTGAGCTTTTCTGTTCAAAGCTAGCTCTCTACCACTCGAGCCACAGCTCTACTTCCAGTTTTCTGGAAGTTAATTGGAGATAAAAGTCTTACAAACTTTCCTGCCTGGGCTGGCTTCAAACTGTGATCCTAGATCTCGGCCTTCTGAGTAGCTAGGATTACAGGCATGAGCCACCAGCAGTGAATATAGATATTTTTTAACTCAAGAAATCTTCATTACTTTCTGTACATCACATTCTCCTTCACCATTATTAATTTATTGTGGATTTGTCTGCCATAAATATTAGTGAATAGGCCAAACCTGTCCTTCCTGTGGTTTTAGAAAATTTTACACAAATTATACCTGGCAATTTGAAGGCTACCTTTAGAACACAGTTGACAATTCAAGTTAAAAATACACATGGAAAAACTTATAGGCCAAAATTCCTGGGAGAAAATAGGCATTGTAATGGATCTAGAGTTGTGATTTATTTTTGCTCATTATTTTTAAAGTTTTACATCACCTGCTTGCCTTTTAAGTTTGTTAACATTGTTTTTGTTTTTGCTTTTGTTTTTTTATGGTTTAATGTCTTCCCACACACTCATTAACATGTGAATGTTTAACTACTGACTTCACCAATTCTACTGCGTAAGTACTGTTTGAAGTCATGCTCTTTTCTTTAAAAGTAAGATCAGAAACCTTATCAATTAGGAGGGGCTTCTTCATATTTAAATTTGTAGGCCCTATCTCTCTAAACAAAAATGGTCAAACAATGACAACTTAGGAGGTTGGATGATGCTAGACTTTCTTTGGAGGGAGTTAATTATCTTTCTGTGATATTTAGTGGCTGAAGTCTCTACTTTCAGTCTGAGGTAATTAGGTAGCACAGCCCTTTCCAAAGCGTGCTCTCCAGAGTCACCCTTCCATGCCACGCCCTATGCTGGTACCTGTGCCCCAGTGCTTTTGGAAAATGCTAGATTAAAATTGTAGGCCAGAGCTTCAGTCTTTCCCATGCGAACATATTTTGGTGGCATTTCTGGGAAGGGGTTCAATATCAGCATTTCCTAAGCTAAGCGTCGCTTCTTAGGAGCTTAGAGACTCTAAGAAACGCTGTTCCATGACTGGCCAAGATTTTATCTGTTATTCCTGACTAACCTTGGTCCAGTGGCGTAAGCAAATTGAAACCCAGAAGGTTATTACGAGAATGGGGAGATTGGAGCTGCTGAAGATTCAGAAGGTTATTTCCAGATTTTAAAGTATATGATCCCAGGAGAAAAAATATACTTAATGCTTAATAAGTATATTTGGAAATGTTGAATAATGTTTCAGGACAATATGTACAATTATGTAGAATCAGGAACTGGCCATTTAGTTTGATTTGTTTTGCTCCAACTGTGATTATACTTGGTGCTCTAGGCCAGTGAGTCCTTCTTTAACCAAATCATAGCCTTTAAGATTTATAAACTAAGCCGGGTGCCAGTGGCTCATACCTGTAATCCTAGCTACTCAGGAGACTGAGATAATCCTAGCTACTCAGGAGACTGAAATCTGAGGACTGTGGTTCAAAGCCTGCCTAGGCAGGAAAGTCTGTGAGACTCTAATCTCCAATAAACTACTAGAAAACCAGACGTGGTGCTATGGCTCAAGTGGTAGAGCGCTTGCCTTGAGCTGAAGAGCTCAGGGACAGCACCCAAGCCAGAGTTCAAGCCCCACGACCGACCAAAAACAAAAAAGAAAGAACTATAAACTGGCTGTGTGTGTGTGTGTTTGTGCGTGTGCGCTTGTGCACGTGCACGCACGTGTGCACACCAGTCCTGGGGTCAAAGCACTATTCCTAAGTTCTTTGCTCAAGGCTAGCACTCTGAAACTTGAACCACAGCTCCATTCTCCGCTTTTTTGGTGGTTAATTGGAGATAAAGAGTCCTACATACTTTTTTTTTTTTTTTTTTTTTGCCTGGGCTGGCTTTGAACCTGGATCCTCAGATCTCAGCCTCCTGAGTAGCTAGGATTACAGATATGAGTTGTTTTAAAGTTGGCTGACTTACTGGTGGGACAGACAAAGCAAGTAAGTGGAGAGACCAAACAAAACCCACAGTCTTGAATCTCTGCCATCTGGAATGAAATCTGCTCATTTTCTCCTAAGGCACAAAGACTCATATGAAATATAAAAAGATTAAGATCAGGTAGACCAATTGATTTGTAGCTTCTGCTCCAAAGATACAGAATCAGCCATCCTTCTAAAGATGAATAACTATTAGCAATTGACATTGTCATGCTTTTAACTGGAGTCTATTGAAATTTCTAAGCATTCAGATTTCTAATTGTTCAGGTTTTCTAATTCTAAAAGGGTTCACATTTGGAGAGTCATTCAGCCTGGAACTTTCTATGATGGTAGAATTGTTCCATACTGTGCTGTCTAATACAATGGCCCCCAATTCTGTAGTAAGGCACAGCACTTGAAATACATCTATGAAACAGAGGAACTGAAATTTAAGTTTATTGAATTGGTTTGGTTTTATTTAATTTTATTCATTTGGATGTAAATAGAGGAACAGAGCTAGCATTAAGCAAATGAGGGTTTTCTGACACAGAACAGATAGAGAATCAAGTTTTGTTTCTGACCGTCAAGACTGGAGTTCTCGGGCAATTGTTCCTGATGATGTACAGAACCTTCTAGAATTGAAACTTCTAGAGAATGAGAAAATTGTTTCTGTGGGGGTGGTACTACCACTGCCTTACAGGCTGATAGCTAAGCAACCCTGGTTCCCACCTAGATACAGCTGCCTTGGCAGCCCAGAGCAAGTCTTCAGAAGACATCATCAAGTTTTCCAAGTTCCCAGCAGCCCAAGCGCCAGACCCCAACGAGATACCAAAGATTGAAACGGACCACTGGCCTGGTCCCCCCTCTCTGGCGGCCATAGGTATGCTCCCCAAACAGCTGGTTCCTGTTGAAAAATTGCAAATCAAAATAATATGCTCAGAAACATGCTAGAAAACATGCCCATCAAAGATTCTTAAGAAACGCATGACCAAAGGGGGTAGAATAGAGAAAAGAATGAATGTAATCACAGTCTGTGTGCAAAAGTGCAAACAGTTTACAAAAACAGATCTCGTAGAGCCTGGCTCCAATCAACCCACTAACGTTCAGGACTGTCCAAAATGATGGTCCACATGGATGCTCAGTTATCACTAGAAAAGCAGCAACTCTGGAACACAGTTGTCTCTCTGCCTCTTGGTGAGAGCAATGTTCTATATAATCAGAGTCTAGTGGGCATCCTTGAAGCATGACTTCGTAAAGTTGTCTTAGAGGATAGCTGCAATTTTTCCTAACCTTCACTTTCTTGCAAACATCACCTTCTCTATTACTAAGACGTGCTGTTGCTGAGGAGTAGGTGTTCCGAACTATTGTGTGAAGTCATGTGATGTTACATCTGTCATTTCCATAAATCCTGAGCTAATATGTCACGTTGGAGCTGTCTCATTCCTTGCGTTGTGCCTCTCCGTTGTGTCTGTGTCTCTACCGTTTTATCAGTTGTGAAATCACTCCGTCTGAAGAGGGATATTAACAAGCCAGAAGCTAACTCTAAAAATTGAGTGAAGTCAGCCTTACTTACAAAAATATGATGATCTTATCACGTTACTGTTGACAACTTAGAAGGCCTTCAATTTTCCAGATTTCCCTAATCTGCTTCATCAGACTATTTTTGTTTTTTTTTATCAAATTATCCTTGGCATAAATTTACCAAGCAATGAAAGTGGATTTCAAAGCAATTAATATTTGTAGAAACAGATGAAGGAAAATTTACTTAGCATGCTTTTCACAAGTATTCTGTAATTATGTTGATATGACTTATTTAATTCTTGCAAACTTGGGTCTATTAATTTTTACTAGTGTGATCTAAAATGAGAAAATTCACGTTGGCATGTATGATTTTTTTAAAACTTTTGAGAATCTACCAATCTGTGCCATAAGGCTTTTGAGGTTCCTCCCTTAGTTATTTTGCTTAGTGAGGACATTAAAGCATCTAAACATTCCAGTTGTTGAAACTTTCTAAATAGATTAAAGTTGCTTTGAGTTTCAAAATAAGAAAGATGTCTGATTCATTTATTAAAATCATGAGAATCAAGACTGTTAGTTTATTTTGATTAGATTAGCAAACTTTCCTGTTCCCTCCCATACCCAGATTAACTCAACCAATTCTGGAAAAACAGGCATTATCTTAATCTTCCAACTATTCAGATTCCTTCTTCCCATTCTCAGTCTCTCTTTTTCCAAATAGTATAAGAATTATACACAATGTACTATATTGCTCTAAAACAACACTTGAGCTATATAAACCTTGTTTTTATTTACATATTAGTATAAAACTTTTGGGATTATTTTCCAAAGTACGGAAAGAGAAAAATCAATTGTCTATCCTTTGATGGGTAGCTAATGAATTTATTAATTTCTAATGAATTTATAATTCATTTGTTTACTAATGAATTTACTAAGAGTAGAAAGGTGGGTGGTAGTATTTTGAAAAATCTAAGTATTTTAAAAAAGAAAAATTATGCCGGACACTGGTGGCTCACACTTACAGTCCTGGTACTCAAGAGGCTGAGATCTGAGGATCATAGTTCAAAGCCATTCCAGGTTGAAAAGTCTATGAGGCTCTTGATTTCTAATTAATCAGAAAAAGGCTGAAATGGAGCTATGGCTTAAGAGGTAGATCACCAGCCTTGAGCAAAAGAAAAAAGCAAATGAACTTAATATCTTGAGTTCCAGCCCCAGTACTGGCACCAAACAACAGAGAGGGGGGCGAGGATGGGAGGAAGGAAAGAAGGTAGAAGAAATATGGGAAGGAAACAAGGAAGGAGGAACAAAGAAAGGAAGAAAGGAGTGAGGGAAGGAGGAAAAGGAAAAATTATAAGATTTTAAAACTTGTCATAGGAGAATAACAAATCTTACCAGTTTATAGACATGTAGATAAATTTGAATTCATCTCCTTTTTAAAACCTGATCTCAGGGACATCCCATAATAGATGGAGAGGACCCTCCCATTTACTACTAACTGTGGTTAGTATAAGACTCAAGGCCCAGTGACCATAGCAACCCCAGGGCTGAGTTAGCAAACATGGATTTGGAGACCCAAGTTCATACTTTGGATTGGTTTATCAAAAGGCCCCATTTTCCTTGAGAAGCCAGTCAGTGGTGCATTATTCCCCCTTACATTGATAATAGGCATTATTCCCCCTTATGTTACTTACTTAAACATGTTAAAGACCACAGCTGATCTTGCCAGCCTAACAAACTGAACCGAGATGGACTAGTCAAGATTCCCTTGCCAATGGGCTAATGTGAGAGATTGTCTTTGCTGTGGAAATTAGGAACTGACATGAGACGCAGATCTAGAGAGGAAGATGAAGAGGAACTTCTGAGACGCCGGCAGCTTCAGGAAGAGCAGTTGATGAAGGTTTGTCCTGAAACTACTTTGCAAAAGTCTTCAATCCAGTTCTATCTATCTATCTATCTATCTATCTATCTATCTATCTATCTATCTATCTATCTATCTATCTATTTAATCACTACTGTCTACACTTAATTAAGAGAAGCAAGGAAGGGGTATGTGTCCAGACCTCCAGGAGTTTGTAGTCCAGTAGGCAAAACACAGTTGGCATCTGGCAACTAGAATAGCAAGAGACAGACAGTGGCTTGGAGGAGATGCCATTGGAGCTAGAGGTCAGAGGGACCTGGAGTGGATGGGACTTTGCCCCAAGGATGAGCTCAGGACTGTGTAGGGTAGATATGCAGGTTCCTGGGTTGAAAAGACACAAAAGGACCTGGCAGCACAGGGGTGGGCTAGAGCATTCCTCCACACCAGCCTTCCCTAGGGGCCGAGAACCTTGGTGTATGCCTGGACTTGGGAGAAAAAAAGAGAGTGTCCCATGAGACTCTCCCAGTAGGCCCCCAGCCAGAGCATACCACATCCCCGATAGTCACTCCCACACTCTCTCTAACCAATCAGGGACTGGCGAAAAGTGTCCCAAAGTCAGGAGGAATGTACCTAGCAGTCGTTAGATGAGGGAAAAGTACAGCCCTCCTCTTGCATAAAAGACATGTAGAAAAGATCTATAAAGAGTATTGTAAGCCAAAATGCAGTTGAGTAGTGGATGATGAGTTCTTCTTTTTCCAGATTTTCTAAAATATGCACACTATGCATGTACAATTTTTTTCTGTTTTTAAAAACAAATCAATGTAATTTCTTTTGGGGACAGGAGGGGTACTAGGGCTTGAGCTCAGGGACTGGGTTCTGTCCCTTAACTTTTTTGCTCAATGCTAGCTCTCTATTACTGTAGCCACACCACTACTTTTTGCCTTTTTGCTGGACAATTAGAGATAAGAGTCTCACAGATTTTTCTACCCTGGCTAACTTTGAACTGCCATCTGCAGATTTCTGCTTTCTCTGTAGCTAGGCTTACAGGCAAGAGCCACTGGTGCTTGGCTTACAGTTCCTTCTCTTTCTCTTTCTTTCTCCTTCTTCTCCCCCCACGCCCCCCCCCCCCTTTTCAGTTGAACTCAGGGCCTGGGTGCTTTCCCTGAGTTCTTTTTTTGGTCAAGGCTAGCATTGTACCACTTTGAGCCATAGCACCACTTCTGGCTTTCTGGTGGCTAATTAGAGATAAAAAGAGTCTCCTGGACTCTTATATCTGGGCTGGCTTTGAACCATGATCCTCAGATCTTAGCCTCCTGAGTGGCTAGGATTACAGGCGTGAGTCACTGGCACTAGGCTGCTATTTCTTTCTTTCTTTTTTAAGGATGGTATGTATACTCTGCTCTGGCCACATCAAAAGTTCCTCACACACTCACACCGCCTTCTGCCATCTCTCAGTGGCACTCAGAAGGAAGGAAGGAACACACCCTTGTGACAGGGAGCTGACACCCTGAAAAAGAGAATGGATGTAGACCTCAGGGCCTGTCTCCCTTCTTGAGATACCACGCCAGGCTCAGGGCTGAAACGATTTGGCAGATCTTGCTTTCATTTTTATTTTCCCCATGAATAGCTTAACTCAGGCCTGGGGCAGCTGATCCTGAAGGAAGAGATGGAGAAGGAGAGCCGGGAAAGGTCATCCCTGTCTGCCAGTCGCTATGATTCTCCCATCCACTCAGGTGAGCACCGCCCCCTGCCTTCACAGTCTGAGAGCCAGACACCTGCCTGCAGCACGCTGGCCTGGATGGTTGTCTGGGTGTTCGCCTTAAACCACTTACAATGATTTACTAATCTCTAGAGCTTCTCTGATTCTCTGATTCAGGTCTCCATAAATATGCAACACTGCACCTCTGTAGATCTAGGCATGGAGACCTCAAAGGTTAAACACCACCCCGAAACATGCAGTAATACTAAGCTACAGAAATGGCGGGATTCAAACCCACATAGGCTCCCTCTACAACCCAACAACCTGCCTGGCATCCCTGCCCTGCACAAACAAAGGTGAAGGATCTAGGCCTTCCAGGAGCCCAGCCGTGGCTGGCTGACAGATCTTTGTGACGTCACAGGGTTGGCTCTCGGTCTGTTACAGCTGGGGCCTGGTGCTTGTGCATTCATCCATCCCTGGGTTCAAATTCACCCACAGTTGTTTTGCCAGTTGAGTGGACTGGGCAGGATGCTTGGCTCCCCTTAGCTCCTGTTTCTTCTTTGGTAAAATGGAAATGATGGCTGAGTCATTGTGAGGACTGCATCGTGAATACAAAGAGATAAAGTGTGCTCAGCTCTTAGATGCCAGAACTGTGGAAAGCACAGCTACGCTGGAGCCCCAGCAGGGCTGGACGTTCCACTCTCCCCGCTCCTCCCTGGGTCACCACTGTTAGGATAACGTTCCTGTGGCCTTGGGTGTGGTGCTGGCACCCAATGTGATTGGAAGCCTTCTTTCCCAAAGGAAGATCCACTGCTGATTGCATTGATGATTGGACTTCTGGCTCCCTAGTGTGTGTGTGTGTGTGTGTGTGTGTGTGTGTGTGTGTGTGTGTGTGTGTGCAGACCTAGGATTTGAACTTGGGACCTAGACGCTGTCCCTGAAATTTTTGGCTCAAGATTAGCGCTCTACTACTTGAGCTACACCTCCACTTCTGGCTCTTGGGTAGATAATTGGAGATAAATATTCCAGACTTTCTTGCCTGAACTGGGCTTCAAACTGTGATCTTCAGATCTCAGCCTCTTGACTAGCTAGGATTACAGGAGTGAGCCATGGGCTCACTACATATTGCTACATATTGCTTTTTTTGCCTTTTTCTTATCAGCTCCACATGCTCCATCATCTAAAACCTCGTCTCTCCCTGGTTATGGAAAAAATGGGCTTCACAGGGTAAGACTTCTCTTTAATTGGTTGCTTCTATACTTATCCCTTCTGCTCCTGATTGGAGTTGTGATGTATTGTCTGAATCATCTGACTCTTTGATCTCCATTTGGGGATATAATGAAAACTCTAGTCATTGCTCTGATTACCTGGTAAATCACTTTGAGATACAAGCAAAGTAAATATTTCTGTTGAAGAAGAAATTGACTTTCAATAAGTGAATGGCCTGTGTAAGCTTAAGAGGAAATTACACTAATCAATGGGGTGGCAATGAAGCTGAAGGTATTACTTGAGACATTAACTCTTAAAAAAAAAAAAGAGAAAGAAAAGAAAAGAAAGCTTGTTGCAGCTGTCTTCCCCTCAAGATAGTAGTATGTAACTATGCTGTGAAATATCTTTTTTAATCTGTCAGCAAGAGATCCTTGCTCACCAAGACAAGGGGGGGGGGCAGCCTATGTCATGGTGATAGAAGATTAAATAGGAAAGAATAAGAATGAGGTCCAGGAGACTGGTTTGGAAAGGGTTCTGAGGATTTTATGTCTCTCTTCCTCCTTTCCACCTGACTCCCAAAGGGTCACTGTGGCGATCTCATGATGTATTTTCCCCTTTCAGCCAGTTTCCACGGACTTTGCTCAGTACAACAGCTACGGGGATGTCAGCGGGGGAGTACGAGGTGAGGCTCCCGGAGAGGCCGGGATCACAAGCGTGCTGCCGGTGTCCAGCACGCGGTGTGGCACCCTGTAGTCTTACCACAGCTACTTCCTGTGCTAACAGTCATCACCGAAATCTGCGAGGATCTCTAGTGAAATAAAGCCAGGAGAACTGAGTTTGGCGAGCATGTCTTTGTCACTTTTGCTGTACACTGAACACTCTTATTAGATAGCTGGAGGTACAGCCATAAGCAAGACGTGGCCCCTGTTCTCAAAATGCATCTGACACTGAGGGAGAGGGGAAAAACGTTTAATCCAGTATTTAAAGCGGGAGTGGAGTCAGGTATGGCAGTACACATCTGTAATCCCAGATATTTGGGAAGCTGAGGCAGGAAGATCTCAAGTTTAGGCCAGCCTAGACTATATAGGACATCCTGTAAACAATAAGAGGTAGGAGGGGAAATAGAGAGCAATAGGGTGTGATTCTGATGAAAAGATATATATGTATTAAATACCATGGTGAAAACCCTCGGTTCAATTAATTAATGTACACTAAAAAAAAATGATGAGAAAACATCTCCTGTTGGCAGGGCAAATAGGTAGGTATCGTGGGCAGGAGAGGACTGAAGGTAAAGTGATCCAAGTACTCTATATTTGCATATGTGAAAATCGAGCAAGGAGACTTATTGAAATTGTTTTGAGAAGCGAGGAGGGAATATGAGAGAGGGAAAGAGGGATGAGGCTGCTGGAATACATTGGACACGTGTATCCAGATATTACCATAAAATCCTCTTGGTGCCAGTAATGTATGCTAAAACAAATCTTAATTAAAAAAAAAAAAAAGCTAGAGCAGGCATTTCTTGGCTTCAGGATTTGCACAGACTGAGAGTAGAGAGAAGGCAGGGTTGCCCAGGACTGTTTGGAGAACTGTAGTAGAACATAGTCTCTGTGGTTCCATGTTTTCTTATAGTCTCTCCCTTACCATAGTTTCCTCTCCTTTTCTTTTCAGACTACCAGGTATGGACCCTTTGGCTTTCTTGACTTGGCTACACCAGCAAGCAGAACTACCATTTTCTAGTCCAGCTGCCTGCCCCAGAGAAAAGATATCTGCTAAGTATAAGCCCTCTCTGTGGTGATCTAAGCACGCTCTGTGGTTATCTAACCACTACTCTCTAGGGTGAAGAGCAACAGGCCCAGCAATTGCGTCACGCCTTGGGGACACAGCCTGAGCCAGGCCTTGTATGAGAGGAGAAGAATGTCTTGCTTTAGGTTATGAGCACCCTCCTTAGGACGACAGTGAACCAGCATCTGTGGTCTGCTCATGTGCAGTGTCTTCCTTTGAACTTTAACCTCTCAGTATTCTAGTCCTTTCTTCTCTTGCCTCTTGTCAAATGAAAGACACTCAGGCCTTGGCTAATGGGAAAGAACATTCTGTTCCCATGTCATTCATTTATTCCTTTATAACTTTTTTTTCCCCCCAGTGCTGGGTATTAAACCCAGTGCCTTGTGTCTGCTAAGCATTGTAACACTGAGTTACATCCTCAGTCCTCAAGCTAAAAAAATCTTGTAAAACCTTGATGGAGAATGAGAAAAGATATAAAATACAAAGAAATATAAGACTTAAAGTAAGAACATAGCAGTAACACACTTGACCTTTTTTCTTTTTTTGCATACTGTATATTTTCATATACTCAGCCTAAATTCAGTAATTAGTCTATAGTTATTAAGTTGGATCTTTCTCTAACCTGATTGCAAAGAGCAGTTTTCCTGCTCTTTTTCACTGACGATCTCATGTTGAAAAAGATAGGGTAATGAACAAGGCCCATCTGCACAACAGCAGGTTTGAAGCCCGGCGGGGCAGGCTGGGCACCCACGATCCTCTCTCGTGTTCCCCATCTGTGCTCATCCTGGAACTGGAATTTCTCTTACAGACCCTTCCAGATGGACACATGCCAGCAATGAGGATGGACCGAGGAGTGTCCATGCCCAACATGTTGGAACCAAAGGCAAGTACAGCCATTCCCTTCCTTCTCCCACACAGATGGCGGGGCCCTTCAAAGGGCTGGATTCTTCTCTTCCTCAGAGTGTAGGGCCCATTTTGTTCCAGGCTGATGCTTCCAGGGAAGGTACGTCAGATCGCACTTCTCCTCCCATGCCACTGTTTTGGTCACATTAGGTGCACAGGTTTAAGTCCTTACTGCCGTGGTACTCGGTTCACCTGAGGTACCTCTTTCTCTCTGTCTGTGCATGTCCATTGTCCTGCCATGGACATACCAAGGCATATCCAGTACCAACAGAACAGCTGGAGTCTGCTCTAGATAGGGTGACCCATATGTTCCAGTTTGCCAACAAGGACTTTCTTAGCCTTGTATCCCGTGAACTTCCTTAATCCTGAGCAAAGCTGGATGACACGTCACTCTTGCTCTAGAATATCCTAAACCTCCCTCAATGGTCAAGGAGTTAATATCTCTGGGGACCGCAGCCAGGGCTTATTTCAGTGTGCCAGCTTTCAAAGTATTCTTCTGGGTCAGTCTGGCTGCGTGAATCCATCCAGATTGAGAGATGAGCTTGATGAACCCCGCACAAGGCATCCTGCCACATCACAGCATCATGGGAGAGAGAGCGTGCATTCCGGCAGGTTCAGCTCTCTTCGCACATTAACCTTTACCCCCATTCCTAACATTAATATTCCTGTATTCAGCAAAGCATTCCTAGACATTAGTACCTCTACTGGTCTTGAGGATCCCTCCTTCTACTCTCATGATCTTGTGATACTAAGTTGGAAGCTCTATCTTAGAAGCACTCGATGCTAGTATAAATGATGATTCTTAATAAAATAGATACCTGTGTTCCTTCTCAGATATTTCCATATGAAATGCTCATGGTGACCAACAGAGGGCGCAACAAAATCCTGAGGGACGTGGACAGAACCCGGCTGGAGGTAAAGCAAAGCAAAGCAAAACAAGACAAGAATCCACACTCAGTTGCAGATGGATCCCTTTACATTCCCTCCAACTTTCTCCCAAGAAAGATCTCATTTCTCTGATGAAACAAAAAAATAAGAAAGATGTAGTTTATCACATTGTAGGTAAAACGAAAGGGTGGCTAGAATCTCAGAGGATCTCTATAATGAGCTAAAGCCATGAGACAGAAGCAAGTGTGGAAGCATGCGTTTATTGCTCCTGCTGGGTGATAAACATTCTAGGAGTACCTGAGTTCAGCAGTAAGCCAGACAGGGCTCTTGTTTGCAAAGTGTGTCAGGCAAGATGAGAAAGCAGAAGGGAGTTTTAACTGTCTAAGCGTGGGCATTTCCTGGCTTCCCAGAAGCCGGTGGTACAGGACATACACTTAGATTTAACTCTCTTTATGGTTAAATTTATACTTAAGTCAGCATTAGGAATACCCCATATTTAGAAGAACTACCCCAGAGGCACAGTATCGCTTTTCATCATTTTCTTGGGAAGTTGGATGCTGCCTTAATTAGGGCTGGAGATACAGAAAGGGAGTCATTGTCCCTCCTCACATTGTCTAGATCCTTATCTGGCCCGAGTCTGGGTTCGGTCCACGGAGAAGCAGGGGGAGAAGGGAGTCACGAGAAAATGGTTTATTCTGGCTAAGGTTCTCTCCTTGGCTGCTTCCGCATTCCCGTGGAAGGGTTATCTGGGTGCATGAACCCAAGGCCTCCTTAGACATGGAAGACTGATCTTTGTATTTTTCCATCTGAATGATTTTAATTATGATTTCTGGCTGGTAGTCTCAGGACGCGTGGATACTGTTCCCTGACAAAAGGGAGGGCCTTTGTATAGACCACCAGGCTGGCTTAGAGACAAGTGGCCCCTGTCCTAGGGGGGTTTGCCTAGAAGCTGTGACAGATGAGGGTCCCCCAGGTAGGCCAGGCACCCAGGCTTCCTGTTGGGTCAAGCTGCCTAGGGACCACTTTGGAAAGCTCAGAGTTCTCATTGGCTTTCTATTGCTACTGTCCATTTTCTCTTCAGGGACTGGAAATAGAGTGACCACCATCATTGTGAATCATCTTCCTAGTCCCCATTCCCTTTTTTTTTTTTAAATTATTTTGTCGGCTGTGGGGCCTGAACTCTGGGACTGGGCGCTGTTCCTCAGCTCTTCAGCTTAAGGCTAGCACTCTACCACTTGAGCCACAGCGCCACTTCCGGCTTTTTCTGCTTATGTGGTGCTGAGGAATTGAACCCAGGGCCTCATGCATGTAAGGCAAGCGCTCTACCACTGAGCCACCTTCCCCGCCTCCCCATTCCTATGCAACCTATTACACTGGGTTGTAACAGAATCATTAATTCTGTCTTAACTCTTTGACTTGATTGGGGTCGGAGTCCCACCTGGCCATGCTTGGTCACAAGCATGAGTGGTTACCTGTCTCTGGTCATTCTCTGTTCTTCATAATAATGATGGTGTTCCTTGGTGTCTGCAAAGATCGACTCCAGTCCTCCCCACAGTTACTAAGATCCACAGATGCTCAAATTGTTTATATAAAATAGGGTTGTGTTTGCCTATGACCTTGGCAAGCCTAATGAGCACCTTAAATCATCTCTAAATGAACTGGATACTAACAGCATAGTGTAAAACCTTATAAATAGTTGTTACATTGTTGGGGAGGGGAATGACAAGAAAAATAGTTGATGCATGTTCAGTATAGGTGCAGTTACTTTTGGAATTTTTCTCCCTTCCTTCCTTCCTTCCTTCCTTCCTTTCTTCCTTCCTTCCTTCCTTCCTTCCTTCCTTCCTTCCTTTCTTCCTTCCTTTTTCTTTCCTTCCTTCATTAACTTTCCCACTCAGGTGGTTTTGAATGATGATCTCAGCCTCCTGAATAGCTAGGATTACAGGTGTGAGGGGTGTCCAGCGTTTTATCCCTTGTTTTTTTTTTCCTTATTTTGTGTGTTTGCTTATTTTTTATCTTCAGTTGGTTGAGTCTGAGGAGAACTGGTGGACACAAACTGGAGAGCCATTCTAAAGGTCTCATGTGCAGACATCTTGACTGACCACTGCTCTATTCTCTTTCCAGCGCCACTTAGCCCCAGAAGTGTTTCGGGACATCTTTGGAATGTCCATTCAAGAGTTCGACAAGTTACCTCTTTGGAGACGCAACGACATGAAGAAAAAAGCGAAACTCTTCTAAGTCCCACACATAAGCAGCAACTAGAAAGGGACTGGCAGTGGCGACGATGCCGGCGATGATGTATCAAGGTCCAAACTTTGATTGGAGAATTTACAATGCACCGTCCCTCAGCAACACACCAAGGGAAAGTCTGGCCACTCGGTACCCTGAGCCAAATATTGGGCCAACCAACAGTAACACTTGCCAAGCAGCAATGGGTAGAAATTTCTATGTTCCCAAACACAGCAGTAATGTTCACAGGTGACCTTTCTACATGACATATTGACCACACAGGACTGGCCTGCCTGCCTTCCTCCCTCTCTCCTTCCCTCCTTCCTTCCCTCTCTCCCTCCCTTCCTCTTTTTTCTCTCCCTTTAACTTTTCCTTTAATTGTGTCTACCATAGTGCTGACTGTATCAATCAGAGCCAGCAAGTGCCCTTAGGATAGAGTGTGTGCTGATTCCAAAGTACGAACATATTTATTCTCCAGCACTGTGGCTAAGGGGGAGGGGGAGTCAGAGGGCTGCTCCCACATGGTAGCAGTAACTTAGCACACACCTTTCCTTGCCCACTTTGTGCTCCTCTGCCTGGGCTCTGGCAGGGATGGAAGTCAGTCATGGAACCAGGCAGCTCTGGTTGAACCTCTGAACGACTTTTTTTCCCCCATAGGCTCTTTATTGTGGGATCTGGTTGGCAAATTGCTAGGATCTTTTTTTAAGAGAAAGGTAAGGAAAAGAAAGGAAGGCAGCCCTCCTGGACTTGTTTTCTGATTCAGATAGTGTGCTGAATGCTTTCTCTATGCCAAGGACAGGAGTTGGCTTAGGCATTACCTTTGCAAAGAAAGGAAAGATAAAAATGGTTTCCAGATTGGCCCGGCTACATGTTGCTAGGTAATTTCTGTCCATAGCCCATAATATTCTTAAAGAAACAAAAATCCCATGTCTTGTCACCCATATAAGTTCATCCTTTCTGACAGTGTCCTGTGCTGTCTGTGTGGCATCCTATGAATCAGGTCATACCCAGGCTGAGTTTATTTTAAAGTCTTTGGTAATAGGCTAAGAAAAGGCATGCTTTTCTCTGAAATCTCTTCAACTTTAATAGATGGCTTCAAATAGATTTAAGTTGGCCTTTATAGCTCTCCTTGCCTAGTATTGTTCACTCTGATGTGTGTGTGGGTGTCTGTGTGTTTGTGTCTGTGTGCCTGTCTGTCTGTCTGTCTGTCTCACCCACCCAGGGCAGTTTTGTGAGTCTGCATGTGCTTTTAGGTTTTGGATGTTGGTCACACTGTGCTGCAGCTTCTTAGGGACATTTTGCACCAGTGCATGTGACTCAGCACTCATGGATGAAAGCCAGCCTGTGTCCCCAGCACCGCCTCCTTCGTGAGAGGATGTTGGTGCCTGGAGACCATGCGCTGAGGTAACTAATGCTGAAGAAGACAGAAGAGGCTGAGGCCTCTCTCCAGAGGCCTCACACACTGCAGCTCTTCATCCAAATTAGAGTCTAGCGATTTTCACTAGAATGTGTGGCTGAGGCCATGTTACAATATGGCATCATACGTGGGATGAGGGGTCTCTCCAGCTCCACACACGGGAGGTTAGGGCACATTTGTTCTTGCACTTTGGGGCTCCAGTTGCAGATTTACACTCTTAAGTGCAAATACCACTGAGCACAATGTCTCAGAAATTCTGGTGCTCTAAAGATGGAGATTACTAGGCATCCACCTGACATTGGGGGGCAAATGGAAGCAGTGTGGGGCTTGAGCCCAAGTGGCAGGCTTGCGACCCGCTTGTGTCTGTATGATGTAGTGAATGATGTAGTGAATTCTAGGATGTAGTGAATATTCTAACTGCTTTCTGGGGTTCTCTTATGCTCTATGAGGAAATCTAAGCTTGAGTACTACTCTCACAAATCCATGATTATATGTTGCACCTACTAATTTTTCTAGCAAAGAGCTCCGATGGGGTGCCTGAGCAGATGAGAGGCCAGTAACTCTGGTCTGCAGGCAGACTGAAGCCCGCAGGGAGCCCTCTCAGGTCTCAATTGCCTGTGCGCTTCAGGCTATGTTCCCGGTACCCTGTCCAGCACTGACGGTCTCAGGTCAAAGCCTGAATTGTCTTAGTTTTTGCCTTGTCCTGGCAGATAGAGGGATGGGGGCTATGGCACATGGTTCCTGACCGTGTGTTCCTACTACTGTCAGCAACAGTGGTGGACAAGCAGCTGCCAGCATGTTTTCATGGTGGAGATAATAAAGAGCCTGCCATGTGTTCCATTTGGTAATGAGTTATCACTCATAAACATGCAGATGAAATGCCAGGGTAGGAAAAAACCAAGGGATTCCAGAAACAAGGGCACAGGCAGGTAGTTTGGCTATTCTTCTTGTTGGTCTCCAGGAGAAGGGCCTGGCTGCCATGGGGATAGGACAGTGAGGCTGAGGGGAATCCTAGAGGGTCATTTTAAAATCGGCTCCTAATTCTCCCCATGATGAAAATCCCTGCTCTTCTTTGTATCTTTTGAACTCAATTCTGACTCCAACTAGAAAAGCAAAACCTTCCCATATCAACTGTACTGATTCATTTAGATTGCCTTGTGCAAAACTGCATTGCTGGAAAACATCAGCAGCCTTTCTCTGCTGTGGGGAGGGACCTCTGCAGATCACTGGGGGGGGGGGGGGGGGGGACATCTGTGCTACACTGACCTGGAAGAATAGGTTGGGGACAAGCTGGTTCTAATTGCCAAATCTAAACGAACGGGCCTATCTGTCAAGCTGGGCTCCCCATGCTTGAGCTTGAAAAGTTCTGACCACAGCCCAGGAGAGGTGTTTTCTACTCCTCCCTCCCCCCCGTGCTGTATGTCAAAGGAAACTACAGTTGTTACAGTCAAATCAGCTTGTCCATTCTAGTGATAGAATTATACCCATAGCAGGCTTGGTGCATATATTAAGGGCTATATTTCCTAGCATTTGACTGACCTGTGGCTCGAATCACATACTGACTGCATGAAGAGGTTACTATGACCCTATGAGAGTCAGTGCTTCCTTTTAAAATTTCTTCAAGACAGTCCAAACCATCACCTAGTCTTCCTGTGCAGTTTACTAGGAGGTATAAAGAGCATTTGGAAACCTGGACAACTAGCTATGTATCTCCTTTCTGGTTTGGGGTTCATTGAGAAAAAATTTTTAATATGACTCCTTCAATAACTAAATATAAACTGCCTGTTCTCTGAAACTTCAAAGAGGAAAAAAAAAACAAGTTAATGGGTAATAATGGTGCAGAAAACTGGGGTGGGGGAAGGTATTCTGTCTGTCCTGTCCTCTGTTCCTCCCTAACCCTGATTCTGTTGGCTCCAAACTGAGTCTCTTCCGAAGCAAAAGCCAGAGCTGTTTTTGATTCGAACGCAGATCCTCTCCATCCCTATCTGGTGTCAATTACCTCTAACTTGCAGAAGTTCCGCTGGAAATGTTTCTAGAATCTCACCTAACTTCTTTACACATTGAAGCAAACATCTTTTTCTAAGAATTGCTTCCCAGATTTTATATATATACATATATTTATGTATATATATATATATATATGCTTTTGCAAGCTTCAAAGAATTCAAAATTAACCACTTTTGACTAGATCAGTCTTTCTAAAGATTATTTTGAGCAAACAGGGTGGCGGTCTGGTGTGCGTTGTAGGGGCAAGCATGCCTCTAGCTATGGCACCCAGAACCCCGTTACTCAAGAGTCACAGAAGGGAAGTAGCCCTCTGCATCCTCTGAAACAAGCTCAGATTTATAAAACACTTTGTATTTCTGGTAACTAATCTGTACTTCCTATGCTAGACTTGATTTTATTTGATTTTAAGAATTTGTTTTCTTTGGATGAACTAAGTGTATGTATGCCTCCAATTCATTCTGTAGTGTGCCCTTTTGAAGAACTTTCCATCCAGGAAAATAAAAAAATAAATAAAAGATTATTTAGGGATTGAAATGTGCAATACCATCCTTCCATGATAAGCTTTAAGGGAACTGCTCACTTATTCCTTGATGGGAGAAAGAGAAGCCTTTACTTTGATGATCTTTAAAAAAAAATACAAAAACAACAACAACAAAAGCATCACCATCTTCCCATTTCCTGCTCAGGAAGGGAGACTTTTGACAACTATCCTTTGCATATGGATTGTTCTATTTCCATTTGAGCAGAGTTTAACTTAAGGCAAACTCAGTCGGGGACAGTGATGAATTCAGGTGGACCCTTTCTGAGTGGTGACTGTGTCTACAATAAAACTAAACAAATCCAGTACTTTCTAAAGCTTAGTGGGATTGAAATGGTGGTTATTAGCATTCAAACTGTCACTCCCAAGAGGGAAGTTCCCATGAGTAACACTCGGAGCCTATGGACTGCAAAGAGAGGGTAACAATTACATCCATCATCAGAAAGGCTGTGAACCACTTCCGGATCACACTTGCTCTGTTTCTTTACTTATGGGAGTTGACACAATTGTCCACAAAATTGATGGTCTTGGGGGATTTTTGTGTACACATTTCTCCAGTAATAAATGGGAACCATTTCCATGAGTTGTTGATGAGTCTGTCTTGAAGCTTTTGGGGGTTCTTTCCCTTTAAGTTGGGCTTGTAGAATTGTTTTCAACAATTTCCTGCCTTCTCTCCCCTTTCAGAAACACAAACGCAAATGTTTCGAAGGGCATGTGAAAAGCCATGTCATGTTCCCCCCATGGAATCGAGTGGGTATGCCCGTGCCTGAGTACCCCGCGCTGGTGTGCACGGTACGGGTGGCCTGCTGGTCTCCATGCTGCTGAGCTGCACAATTCCCAGCCTGCTCCACACTCCTGTTGTGAGCCACTCTGCCATGCCCCTTTGCATCGCTGTTGTACTTACAGCTGGGTGAATAAAGCTGTGTGCTTCATTTGTAAGTGCCTTCAAGGCTGTCTCCTTTCTCATTCCTGTGGTCCTTTGGAAGATTTATCCTGTCTCCAAAAGTATCAGCCCAACTTCCAGTAACCCAAGCAAAACCAGAATACAACAGATGCCATAATCCATGCAAGCTGATTGCCCAAGCTGGAGGCAGGAAGTGAGGCCAATACCAATTGGTTGGTCAGGTTGACTAAAGAAAAACATTTCTTGGCTAGGGGTATAACTCGGGTAGAGTATATGCTGAGAAGGCATAAGGTCTTGGATTTGAGTCCCAGCAGAGAGAGAGAGAGACAGAGACAGAGAGACAGAAGAAAAAGGAAAAGAAAAAATGAAGGACTTGTCTTCACTGATGTAACTGCTGCCGATGTTGGGTTCGATTTGTGACACAGTAGTGACAATTCCATCATTTGGAAAAACAGTGATGGTGTAAGCTGGCTTGAGAAAAAAATCAGCCACTGTGAACCTGGCCACTCTAAGAAGCAGCTAGAATGAGTAGGGAATAAGTATCTTCCCATCTTTGACTTCTGCGTTACTGATCTTTACATGAGGAAAAATCTACATTTCAATTTACTTGTCCTTATTGCTAGAAAATACAGAGATCTGTACTTAGGATGGCCTGTTCTAACCAGACCCCACAGCCTGCTGGGCCTGTCCAGTCTCTCTGGGCTCAGTCACATTGGCATTCGCATAGATCCTGCCTGAAAGCTAGCCACGGGTTAGTCCCAAGACAGTGTTAAATATATCAGGAGGCCCCAGCTCCAAGTCTGTTCTATTCACCTCTGTTTTCACCAGCACCCATGTTGGATTCAACTTCTGCAGCCTGAGTTAGTTTTAGTGGTGGTGTTTGGCTCTGCTGGCACCACCTTTGCATTAGAAGTCAACTCCTCCTTTACCTCAGTGGCTAGCAGAGAGCTTCACCCACCTTAGTTGAGAGTCTAAGCATCGTTAGCAGCCCTCACCTCACCACTGCCTGGCTTCCCTCAGTGCTCTGCCTTCAAATCCATCCACCTTTGCCGTTCCAACCACTGCACTGCTCCAGACACACCCGAACTGTCCCCACCCAAGCAGCTCTGCCAACATTTCCTCTCTACAATGCCCAGCTCTTCAAGGAGGTGGTCAGTCGTGGAGAGAAACTGGCCCCAGGGGAAGGAGGTTACGGCCGGAGTTGACTCTTTAAAGCCAGTTTCCCATCAGCACTTTGGAGTTACGCATGTGAATTTCCCATGGGCCCTGTATGCCTTAAATGAAAGACAAGCCCAGGTTCACATTCACATCCCCTACATGGGCCTGTCTTGATGGCCCAGCCCAACCGGCCAAAGCGAATTCTTTGCGTGCTTATGACTACACCTCACAATTTAGTACTTAGCAAGGGTTGCCTCGTACTCTGAGCTTGGCACCTGTTTCTGCTTTGTAGTTTCATCTCCTCTGGGTTGAATGCCGAGCAATCTATCATTGCATTCACATATCTCTCCCAGGGGCCCCCACAAGGCAGAGGATTGTAGCTCAGCCATACAAGTGAGGAAATCAAAGCTCAGAGGCTGAACAAACATGCCTGACCACTCAGCCAGGGAGCCCCACAGCCGGGAGCATCCAGCTCTGTCCCTTTCGAATACCATACTGTTTCCCTCCCAGTTCTACTGCTTTTTATCTTCTCAGGACAAGGACCATGTCTCCCATTCTAACTCTCCCAGGACCAACAGCTCGGTGCAGGTGCAGTGTCAACTCAGGCTTAAGTGCCAGCTCCAATAAGTAGATGTGTAAAGAGTGACTATTTGTTTGACTTCTCTAAGCTTCCATTTCCAGTTCTATCAAAAGAGGCATAGTAATAATACCTACCTCAAAAGGTTATTTATGAGAACTCCTGTAGAACAAGCCCCAGCGTGATAGAAAATGAGCTCTCAAACATTAGCGTTTGTTAATAAAGTGGCTACCATATAATAAGGACTTACTGTTTATCCAGCCCTGAGTGAAGCATGGTATGTGGTCTCTTACTATTCCTTATTCCTGCTGTAGAGTTAAGAAAATAGACCCAGAAAAGCTACCTGCTGATGAGGGTGGTGGGGCTGGGATTCAAACCCCATCTCTCCAATCCCAGGCTCTGCCTTGGGCAGTTGCCCTGTGATGTGGCCAATCACATGAGGCCAGCTGCTCCAACCAGAAGCTGGCGAAGTGAAGCCTCATGGGAGAGGAGCACCCCCATGGTGCCAAAGGCATGCCTGTGAGCACCGGAAGAGCTGATCATTGATTCCAGAAGAGAGGATGCTGGTTCCAGAATGATCTTTCCAATTCAGTGATTCATATTAAAGCAACTAGAGGCAGCAAAGGCAGAAGTCTCAGTGGTAGGGCATTTAGGGACACTGGCTCAGCTCAAGAAAGCTACTAGTCTGCCCAGTGCCTCTGGCCCATGCTAGAAGGAGTGTCTCTTCCTCCACAGAGCCAGACAGCCTGGCCTAGGTGCGTCTACCTGCCCTCTCCTGCTGCTGCAAGCGGCTCATTGTGGCTGGTAAGCACTGGTAAGGGTGGAGACTTTAGGACTGGCAAGTTTTGAGATAACCCAGAGTGACTGGAGGAACACTGGCTAAAACTTTCAGGGAGTCCCCATTCCAACCCCAAGGGATGGCCATCAGCCTAAATTCCCCCTCTTCCCCACCGGAAGCCAGGACTCTGAATATATACATACACTATATATACATATATACATACACATATATACACTACATTTACACGCACATATATACTATATATACATGTATATATGAAGTAGGGACACACACATATATGTGTGTATAGATATGGATATATATATATAGTGTCCCTCGTTCCCTTCAGAGGAAGTCAGAGTAGGCTCACCCATTTGGGGCTGTGGAGGAGGGTGTAATTATGACCACATGTACACACGTACTTTCCTTTCCAATTGTAACTGGATGAAAATGCTGTCAGGGCCGTCCATTGTCCTAAGCACAATGGCTGCCCCTACAGAAGATTGTCTGTGTTTATTTCTGTTGTCCCCTGCTGCTGCCTCTACACTTAGCCCTTCCCAGTAGATAAAAAGAAAAGTTGGCTCGGGAAACACTCCTATCCAAAGTGAGGACTGGTTTTGCTCTGCCTCAGCATGGCATTGGGTGTGTGCCCTTCCAGAACATTCCCCAGGGGCTGCTGGCAGCACAGAGAGCTCCATGCAGCTTCCAGACTCAGCCTGGTGGTGGGACTCAGACTCAAGAGAACCTGGGACTGAGGCCAAGTGAGAAGAGGTTGGGTGAGTTCTGGAAAGCAGTATGGAGGTTCCTCAAAAGACTCCACTTAGAGCTCCCCTATGACCCAGCAATCCCACTTTTGGGCATTTACCCAAATGATCACAAACAAGGCCATACTAAAGCTACCAGCACAACTAGGTTTATCGCAGCATTATTCACCATAGCTAAGATATGGAACCAACATAGATGCCCTTTGGAAAAATTTACATTAAGTGAATGAATTAAGCCAGGCCCAAAGAAACATAGGTCCAGTCATTTCCCTTATCTGCAATAACTAGTATAAATCTAGGACAAACAGAAAAGGTCAAAAGCTATGTACATATGACCATATAAGATGATGCTAAGCAAAATGAACCCCAAGATAGGGACACAAGAGGTTTTCTCTTTCTTGCTGTAGTTCTTAATGTACTTATAATGTACTATGTGATTTTTTTTTTTGTTTCTTTGGTATGTTCTTCCCCCATGGTATAACCCCTGTTTTCACTGTATCTGATTCCTGTGCCCTGCGTCTTGTATATATGTTTTTCTTATTTGGGGAGGAGAAGGGAAATAGCAAAATGCTGAAAGAAGGATACAAGTTGACACATTATATGAGATGTAGAGACACTATGTTGAAAACGAGCTTTACAACTTTGGTGGGAGGAGGGAGGAGTCGGGGAGGTGGGGAGGAAAGGGATGGTAGGGGAAAAACAAAAGTAGGGAGTAACGATGCTCAATAGGAAATGGACTCATTACCTTACTCATGTAACTGTAACCCCTCTGTACAGTATCTTTACAATAAAAACAAAAAAAGGGTTGATTGATGAGAACAGCCTTTCAAGGATCACTGGAGTTCCAGGTGCTGGCTAAATCCTCCATGTAGTATTCTAGTTAACTGGAGAAGAGTAAGCTCAGGACTGAGGGAGGGCAAATAGGAAGGCAATTGAGTTCTAGCCCCTGGCCATCCTGTCCAAACACTACATGCCCCCGAAGGCGGACACAGTTCTCTAGGCTTCCTCGTTGTTAGCATGGAGTTTTCTAAGCATTTATCAAAAGGGACTGTGTTTTTGTAAAGACAAATACCAGCCTTTCTCAGCTTGGTGGAACCTGGCCACCAATAACAACATTTTGTTCTGCACTGGACGGATGCTGGCACCGGAAAAAAAAATGATTCTTTCATTCCTGTGATTGTCTTTTGAAATATGCTTCTTACTAAAAAGTTAGAAAATGTTGCTAGCACTTATGATGCTATCAGGAGCAAGAGTTCAGCCTACTGTGTTAAAAACGAAAAGTTGTTTCTCTCCTCCACATAAAAACAAAGTGACTCAAGAATACTTAAGTTGTGGGTACTTATCAATTTTACTTCAGTCCAAAGGCTTTCAGTGCTTAAAGACTCACAGCCTGTGGCCC